CAGCAAGGAAAGCAGAGTTATTCAAACTCCTCCATACATCAACGGACAACACGGAGGCAGGGGAAGGCCCAGCAACACCAACTCAGGTGACACCCAGGCCATGCTAGCCTCACTCATAAACTCATGAGCCAAAAAATTTACGACAGACTGGCAATTTCAAGTCAGTCACAGCCCTCACAAGGCTGGGCCTCACGCTACTGTACAACCAGCACCAACCAAACTCGGTTACTTGGTACAAGACGTTAACCCTGCACATATGATCCCGGCACATTGGGGAAACAAGGCATATATATGTATGATGATGTATCTATGATGGTCAGACCCAGGGATTCTAGGTAAATCGGGAACTGACCATCCCTTGGTTGTGTTGGCATTTGGAATATGTAGAGATGCTTATTTGTGCAGGTACCCATACAGAAGGGATTTTCTCCCAAACAAACGGGTGAGCACTCTCAGGCTCCAGGTACCAGCACCTCTGAACTACCAGAGACAATTGGGATTAGTAGTTGCATTGCATATAGACTGTTGTATTATGTTCAAATCATTCAGGGCACATGACAAACCATGTGTCCCAATACAACTTACAAATAACGTACACACCAATGCATTTTCAACACTACTGACTCATCACCCTTCCAGACTTGTAGTAGAGTTACTAAGGCTTTGGAGCTTCAAAGGGCTCCCATACAGGTATCATAAATAAACTCTCAAGGAATATAGCATGCCTTACTTACAGTCAGCACAACAGAACCGTCGGCTATAAACACACTCATAGCCAAGATTTGCAGAGGGGTTTTTACTTGGGTTTTCCAATCTCCACCATTTACAGCATGGCACCAAACACAAACGCATTGGTATTGTCACAAGGGAATCTTCCCTTAAACAAGACTAACCATAGACTTATTGGCACCACACACCTTCGCTACCCTAAGTCTCCACTCCCTAATACCCTCCGAGGAGTTTCCTTACTATACACACCATTGATCTACCTTTACCATTATCACTCAAGCAGGGGTTGAAGCTTCGTTAAGTAAGACCAATATCATCAACACAGTAAACTGCTACCATCTACCCTACAAACTGGCACTTACATGGCATAAAATGGGCAATCCTTTCCCCGCTAAAAGCAGCTGCTGTGGCATGGGGTAAATCATGGTCAGGGTCATCAATCCGTTGTTACTCAGACAACTAAGCACATGTCATATCATCAACAAATGCCACTCATCATCCATACGATCATGGTATTGCTGGGGAACTCACTTGGTTGGCCACTTACCACATTTCTTTTACTTTCATGTACCAGGCGGTGGTATACATCCTTGCCGACAATTGTCTCATTTATATTCCAGGCACGTTCATCATACGCTTCCTACAGCCACCCATACAGTCATTGCCACTCTTTCGTTCCAGAGACAAAATCATGGATTAGACATACTCATGCAGCATAGCATGCACTATCCCACCTAGCACTTTCATCCCATACTTGTAGAATGCTCCTATTCACATGGCTTTAAAGAATCTCATTGGAACACGACATAGCTCAACCTGTGTCATAACATTTCTCCTAGGTTTTGCTTCATTTTTTGCCACCTTAAACTAAAACCATCTCACACACCATTAATTATATATTTTACAGGCATTCAACAACACAGGATAACCTATGGCCAAAACTACCATAACTTCATGCTATCATACCAGACAAGAATATACTCAGAGGTGTTCAGGAATCCATCCCCCCACGTTCCTCTCAGATATTACCAATAGCCATCCAACTTTTCCATCCTTATCGGACCTATTAGAGCTACAACCTTTCAATTATACTACCAAGTTGGCCATTACCAGCCATGCACACTGCCTTTTATGCCTTTCTCAGGCCAGAGAATCCACTACCATAACCACCACTCAGACAGATCATTATCTTCAATGATCCCACGTGTGTAAACACATATATCATTACCTATTGGCTCTACCACATTCCGAAACGAGTCAACACGCACCAACAGTAGAGATAACATACTATCCTACCCACAACAAATGGTGTCCAGTTGCGGTCCTAGATTCCTACCTTCAAAAATCCTTCAAGGAATTAAATACCGTAATGCATTTAAGGAAATGTCTGGTTAATTTGTATATATTGTTGTCTGTATTAAATCTTTGATTATTCTTTTTGCCCTCTTTATTTACAGGCCTACCGTATCGTCGGTCTCGGCACACCACAACCGACTTGCTCCCTTTATACTATCCTACGCTTATGCTGGAACCTTACTCCATATACGGCTATTTGCCCCGAACACAAGTTTTAAGGCCATTTGGCCTGTATTTGTGGGAGGGGCTTAAATTAATTCACTCCCCTATATAAGGGACACCCCTTACCTGACTCATATCGCTTGAGGTCAGCATCAGAATGACCCTCCCACCCACTCCTCATTTCAACACTTTCTCTTTTCTTTCCATTTACTTTACTTACTTACTCCTTGGTGGGCCCTCTTTATTTACAGGCCTACCGTATCGTCGGTCTCGGCACACCACAACCGACTTGCTCCCTTTATACTATCCTACGCTTATGCTGGAACCTTACTCCATATACGGCTATTTGCCCCGAACACAAATTATATATATGTAACGTCATACAAAGTGTATTTTAATATTAATATAAGAACATATATTAGTATTAAAATACACTTAGAATGACGTTACATATATCATATGTATATAGTTTTTATATATATATATATATAATAGATTTATACACATATAGATATATGTGTATAATTACAATAATAAATAAATAAAATATTGAAACAAAATTTAATATAAATTATATATTCATATGTAATTTCATTCTAACTGTATTTTGTTAATATATATATATATATATATATATATATATATATATATATATTGGTAACAAAATACACTTAGAATGACATTCTATATATATCTATGTATATCTAAAATACAAATAACCTAAGTCTCCCGAGAATAACAGTACCCCCCATGTACAGGTTTTATGGTGTTTTGGAAAGTTAGAGAGTCACATATAAGGCTTGCATTTCATTTTTTCTACATTGAAATTTGCCAGATTGGTTATGCCATCATGGGGGTAATTCTCATTCCTGGGCTACCATACACTCTCAAAGGCAACATTACTAATCTGGCAAATTTCAATTTGAAAATGGAACTGTTGCAGGAATAGCAGGAATAAGCCGCAGAAGCCACACACAGAGAAATGAAAGCAGGTTCGTTCAGGAAGAAAAAGGTCTTTATTGTTACCGATCGGGTCTCAGATGAACTCCTGTTCTAAAAATATCTGAGCCCAGAGCATAGTTTGTACAGGCTTTTTATTAACAATAACTCCTCTTATTCCTAGCTTCACCCACACATACCCTTAGACCAATCAATGAACAGGATATTCAGGATCACCTAATATGGGCAGACCGTATGACTCCTTTTAAGGACAAAGGAATGTGACTACAGTTGATGCACATGCTCAGTACATTGATGACCGTATCTTAGGTACATGTAACTAACTAACACATAGAAACAAACACCTGTACTTGTATATGCCACATGGAGATTTCAGGCCTACTAAATTTTGAACCATGTTGAAATCCCATCACAGAACGTTCTATATTTGACCCTGTAACTTTCCAAAACACCATAAAACCTGTTAATAGGGGGTACTGGTGTACTCGTGAGACATCGCTGATTACAAATATGTGCATTTTTGTGCAGTAAAACCTAACAGTATTATGACATTCACAGCTAAAATGTCAGCAGAAATACAAATTAAAAAAAAAAAATCTTATTTTCTCACATTTTATTCATAATAAATTGTGTTCCATATATGAATAGTTAATGATAAATTAAAGCCCTGTTTCTCCTGAACAAAATGATATATAATAAGTGTGGGTGCACTTAATGTGACAGCGGTGAATTACGATTGAACACACATTTAGCGCAAATTCCAGTTTTTGTTTACGTTGTGTTTTGATCAGAACGTGAACTATTGACTCCGTCCTGAATGGGTTAAGCAACTTAAAGCGGCACTGTCACGCCAAACTTACCTTTCCCTAATCACTTCCTCTTCTCTTCCAAAAGTGAAGATTACTTAGTATTAGTAAATAAGAGAGTTTAACATCTCCCTTCTGCCCCTACTTACTATGCCTATCGTCTCCCCTCCCCCATCCCTCACCCATGAGGCCTTTTTTGGCGCTGAAAAAAGAAGATTTTAGAAAAAAGAAGACCTCTAATGGTAAGCATGATTTTTTTTTTTTTACAGATATTTAGTTTTATTACCTCCCTCCTAACTATTTTTAGGGTTAGGCTTGGGCACCCCTAGTCAATTGGGGGAGCAATTTTTACATTTAGCCCCCACCCGTGGCTCATGGGTGGGGGGCAGGACAATAGTTCCTCCCCCTTTTGTCATTTAGGGCCACCAGGTGCACTGCTCTCCGCCACTTGTATTTTCACATATTACAAGAATGGAGCTACGAACCAGTAGCTCCCTCCTTGTAATAAACGAATGAAGAGGTCTTTGTTTGTTTGAAATTTCTATTCATTTGTCTCTCTAATGAATTAACAGATGAAAATCAAATACCAGACATTATCAAACGCCCAAGTGTTCAGCTGGCCATGCGCAGGAATTTCATAGCGCTATCTAGTGTAGGCACATGACTAATCCTACAGGGCCTTCATCTGCCCACGCAAAGATGGCGGCATCCAAATAAAGTTTTTTTTTTTTTTTAAAAGGTAAATGGGGGGGTCTAGGGGAAATTGGGGCTGGCTAGGGGTCTGGCTAGACTAACCCTGCAGCTCTAAATCAGAATCTTCCATCACATCAATAATTCTAAAGATTTACCTGGTCACCCTTTATTACTGCTCTCAATAAAACCAGCACTGTTAAGCCACTTAATATTTACTTAAACGGTTTGTGGCGTTCTCAAGCTCATAAAGTTCTAAGCATGAACGTTCTAATCACTTCGCCGGAACGTGAGAGGCACACACTGCAGCTTCGCCTCATCACCCTCACCGCGCATGCACAGGACCGAAGGGGCGGGGCCGATGACAAAAGGTTTCCCTAAGACGGTTCGGTTGAGTTGCAGTGACGTCACATGTGATGGACGCGAGTGACGCTTACGTATGACGTTCCTGGCAAAATAAGAAGAGAAGCGAACATGGCTGCCCGGAGAGGTAATGTCCTGCTCGGTAACAAGCTTTCCGTAGCGAGTTATTCTTTCCCTGTTCGTTACAAAAATCTAAAAGTCTGTTTGGTAAAGGCTTTAAATGTCTCTGTGCAGGTTTTACATAGTCATTTTGATTATGTTGTATTTGAGCTTCACACCCTGTATTGAGTAGAAGGTCAGTGTGACTGGTGGTAAATCCTCCTTGCAGTATTTAATAAGATGTAACTGTGTGTGTTACCCCAGTGTCCTTGTTCTATGGATTGTGTGTATTATTAGGAATTGCTAATGTGCATATCTGTGTAATATGTATAATGATTATTGTTGGCCAGGTCCCATAAGCAGAGATTGCTGCTATGATAGAGGCAGTAATATAACCCAATCCACGCCCTGTGTCATTCATTGCATGACAGTGACTTCAAAGTGAAAGTCTTATGTTACCTATGCAGTTGACTCCTTAGTTTATATATAGTCATGACGGGGAATGTTTTTCTGAGCTTGATTACCCAAACTGCTGGGAGAAACCCAGGGTGTTTTTGGCCACACCTGCTATAAATTAAACACGAATTGTAGATTTTTATAAAAAGGAGGGGGGTGGGGGATTACTCAACTGTGTGAAGCATTAGACTGAGAAATACACTGCCCCTTGCTGTTTTACCTTTTTATTATCCCACTGTTTAATGCAATTTGTTACTTATTGATAAATTTGTGCCACCCCCGCCTTTGTTGCCTTACAATTCTTTTGGCTTTTCTCCCCTTTGTTGCCACTAATTAATTTTTGTATCTCTGTTGCTGTCCTGCTTACACTTTCTCCTGAAACACACAAAACTTAAGCCTAGCCCTCTCACTGTAACTAAATAGACCGCAATTTAGTAACGTGTTGATGCAATTATAGCTTCAAGGAAGGTGTGGATTTAGTTGAGCAAAAACATATCCTTTTTATAATGAACCAAAAATAACTGCAATAAAGCAGCTGAACAAAAGAGACATAAAATGGAATAATTCAGAGCATATAAACAATGCACCAAAACAAAACTGGACAGCCTAAACTTTATAAGGACTCAGCATGGCAGTTTGACTATGGGAAATCCTCTATTTAGTTATTGTCCATGTTCCCCCAAAAATACCTTGGAGCATCCATCATAGAATTATTTATTTTATCCAAACACACAAAGTGGTTGTGTGGTTTAATATTTTTTTTTAATAAGTAAGGCTCTGCACCACTCTTGCAGAACCCTCAATAGACCTTACAGTTGCAATGTTGTGCATGCATGAGAGGACACCCATTTGGGTTTAACAAACAAGGCACAGGCAAAAATGAGTCAAAAGAGTAATGACATTAAAGGCATTTGTTATGGGGGGGGGGGAGAAATAGCTTAACGGGCAAAAATAAGTTATTACCCGAGCTCAATAGGGCACGACCTGGCAACCAGTTGAAAAACAGTGCACCAACCATGTGGACAAAATGACATTCAGAAGAGAATAAATTGTTTATTAATAATCCAGTAGTGCACATATCAATGCAGTTGGAAGTGAGCATTAGGCATTATCGCACTCAAATGTAATATAAGTGCAATTAATACACATATTATAATACAAACCAATATTAAAAATAGACAGCAAGCTACAATGATGCTGAAATTTATATATACAGTACAAAAGTGAGTACATTCCTTACATTTTTGTAAATATTTTTATATCTTTTCATGTGACAACACTGAAGAAAGGACACTCTGCTACAATGTAAAGTAGTAAGTGTACAGCCAGTATAACAGTGTAAACTTGCTGTCCCCTCAAAATAACTCAATCCACAGTCATTAATGTCTACACTGTTGGCAACAAAAGTGAGTACACCCCTAAGTAGAAATGTCAAAATTGGGCCAAAAGTGTCAATATTTTGTGCGCCCACCATTATTTTCCAGCACTGCCTTAACCCTCATGGGCATGGAGTTCACCAGAGCTTCACAGGTTGCCACTGGAGTCCTCTTCCACTCCTCCATGACGACATCACTGAGCTGGTGGATGTTAGAGACCTTGCACTCCCCCACCTTCCGTTTAAGGATGCCCCACAGATGCTCAATAAGATTTAGGTCTGGAGACATTGTAGAAAACCTGTGAAAAGTTAAAAAGAAAAATATTCAATATAATATAATAAAACTTTTTTAATGTTCAGTTAAAAACTGGGTTAGATAATATTCTTGGTTTAGGACTCCGTGTATCAAGGTTTCTAATCCAATGTGCTACCTCTGTCACCTCTCCTCAGAGACTCTATGACATGCCCAACCAATTATCTGAAATTTGAGTTGGAAAACCTTGTTCCATGCTTCAACAAAGTGAGCTGGTAGGGCCAAATCAAAAAGATCTGTCCTGAACCTGATAGTAGATTTATGTTATGAGAACCTTTCTTTCAGGTCAAAGGGGCTTTTTTAAAACATACACCACATGTGTGGTGTGTAGTGTCACAAATTGTTTAGTTAGTGGGGGCTTTTTGTTTACCACTATGAGGGTAATAAGACATTTATCCCTGGATTATAGAATGGCAACAAACACCAATTTCTTCTGGAACAGCCAAGTCGCGAATCAAAGGCATTTTTTCCTTAACCAGTTTGCCCCTAAGGAAATTATATCTCTTAAAAGCCAGCATGGGTTTATCAGCAATCTCTGGAACATCTGGATGGCAAGCCAAAAGAATGTGCCAGTGTTTGTTGATAATCCTTTTAATGTTAGAGGAAAATGTACCATAACGTGAGATGAATTTAATACTTTAGTACTGTTCTCCCTCTTTATTTTTGGCAAAAGCAATTATTGTCTACTTTTTGTTTGAACTTGTGTCAATTATTCATTAAATTAGCTTAGGGGATACCCTCACATCTTAAATTTGTAATCTCACATAGTTGTAAATTGGCCTTGTCAGACAGTGATACCAATCTTTTGACTCTCCTGTACTGGATTTTGGGAAGAGCTCTAAAAACAGAAGGGTGATGAAAACTGCAAAATGCAAAATCGATTTTCTCTGTAACGGTTTACTAAAAATGTTGGTTTTAAGTTTTCCCCTGATTTGATCATCAAAACCTGTAGACAGGGGGAAAGGGTAGTGAGTCAATAATCATAATAAATTTGCTTGAATAGGAGCAGTTGTTCAGAAAAATTAATTTAGGATTCCAATGAGCCACTTCACAACACCAGGCATGATTGATTAGCCATTTTGTATTAGATTCTACTGTTATCTGGCTAACTGCAGCTCAAACTAACTTTACTGCTATAACAGTAGAGTGCGACCCAATATGGCTGCTCAACCAGATAAAGTGAACTAAAATATAAAAGTCATGCTGGATGTTCTCAAGCAGAGCGTGAGGATGTTCAGCATCATTTAGGAGACCTAGAGTCTGATAAACTCCTGGAACCACCTCTAGTGGCTGTCTAATAGGCCGCAACTAGTGACTGTCTTAGCATTGCAATGTTTTACATTGCAGGACTAAGATGGACAGGTACACTGCAACCAGACAACTTCAATGAGATAAAGTGGTCTGGGTGCCTGTAGTGTCCCTTTAAGTCTGATAAAGGTCTAATAAAAAAAGGTTGGTTGAAATATTGTCACAATGCCTGAAACACAAAGCACACTGGACTTTTCTCTTTACTATTGCACATTTTATGTGTTACCAGTGATCTTACAAGCTTGACAAAACGTTTTTCCTATCGAATTTAGTCAGAAATATTTACCCTGAATTCAAGAGACTTTTGTTTTGTTTTTATGTGTCTACTGGAGTTACTGCATAATAATTTTGAAAGTTGGAGTTATCCAATTGCTGGTGGGAGGGCACAGCACATATTTCCCAGAGATTCTAGAATATATTTGAGTTGTGCATTCCAGAAGATCAAGTTATAAATGTAACATCCCAACTTTTATTGCATACATTTTGTTTTCTCTTTAAAGATCCCAGCAGTGATGATGAGTCATATGAAGTTTTGGATATAACAGAATATGCTAGGCGTCATCATTGGTGGAGCAGGCTTTTTGGACGAAACTCTGGGCCACTAACAGAGAAATATTCTGTTGCTACGCAGATTGTGATGGGTGGAGTGACTGGCTGGTGAGATTAGATTCTAATTGTTTTTAATAATTATATTTTTTTTAATGTGCTTTCCTGTAGAAAATTAATAAATTACATTATATATTAGTTACCTGAAACTATTACTAAATTTCTTCTGGGTACTAATAAACATAACATACACATGCAGTAGAAGTTCTGAATATTGTGTACTTTTCATAGTGACTGATTAGCTTCAGTGCCTATTTAAATATGTATATTCTGCATTTTTAGGTGTGCAGGGTTTCTGTTTCAAAAAGTAGGGAAGTTGGCTGCAACGGCCGTAGGCGGTGGATTTCTTCTGCTTCAGGTAAGCATGTGATCTGCTAAAATGTATATTTTTTTGTATATCATTTTTGGTGTTTCACTTATTAGTCTTCAGTACCAAGCTAAATATGTCCAAATGTATTGTTACAAAACTACACATGCTTTAGAGTTGAATTTTCCATAAAGTATTGGAAAAATAGACACAGCTGTTAAAGTTGAAATCTTGTGGGGTTAACTTCACTTATATGATTGTACAGCCAGTGCCCACAATGTACTCCCCCAAAAAAGTGCTAAAAACAGAAGACTGAGTTTTCACAAACCATAAACATAAAATATGGTGGTTATAAATATTATAAAATTACTCTAGATAGGTGAATTATCATTTATTTTTTGTATCTTAAAACATGTACTGTTTCTTTAAGGAATTTGTTTATAGCCTTATGTAGACAACAATGTAAATCATTGCAGTTTTTGAGAAAGACAAGACTAAAAGTGCCTTTAGTGGCTGTCAGTCAGACAGCCATTAAAGGCACTTCCTTGTGGCTAATGAACTTTGGATTCCTGACGCTGGACGTCCTCACCTCCCACCTGTTGGACGACCCTGATTGTCGAGGGACATTGGTGCTAGAATTGGGTAAGTGACAAAAGGGATTTTAGCCCTTTATAAGCTGAGTACAAGGGAGGGGGGACCAGACGACTCTATTACAGTTAGGAATACTGATTTATGAATATCCAATAACCACGCTTGCCACACAACTGTTATTTAATGATTGCTAAATGTTTAATGGCAGAAGTTTAATTAGATTTTTCTATCCGAATAGTAACCTAGGTGTTCAAATTGAGAATTGTCAGGAATTAAAAGTGAATTTCAAATGTAAGACCAAAGAAGCCAAACTGGATGCATATTTGACTGTTTCAGTTTTTGGCCTTAAATAAGAAATTACTATTGAATTCCCAACGTTTTTCAATTTAGTGAATAACCTTATAAATTAGCCAAGCATTATGTTAGAGCACTTATATTGACACTAGTTAACACATTTTGAGATTAACAGGAGAGGCTGTAGACATATATTTTTGGGGGAAACTGCAGTATTTACATTTGTAATCAGGGTGCCTCTTGTGGCTGTCAGAAAGCCACAAGAGTGACTTCATTTGATAATTGGAACCCTTCATTCAGCACTGACAAACGCGTAGAGAAGTATCCTATTGGTGCGCATGCTCAGTAGGTTTCCACTGCTTCAGTCAGACCAGATATCATCCTAAAGGATGATCTCAAAAGTGGAGAAGCAGCTGTCTAGCAGAGACTGCCCGACGCTCGATAAAAGGTAAATAAACATGTAGATTTTTTTTTTTTTTTTGTATTTATTTTTTTATTTTCTAGTATGTCCTAAAAATAAAGAGATGTAAATATATATACTTGTTTTTTACGTGTGTGTGTGTGTGTGTGTGTGTGTGTGTGTATATATATATATAAAATATTCCTTGATTTATAAATATGTTTGGCATGCTTCACAAGTATTGAGTTTTTTTTGTTCCTTTTTTTTTTGCTTGAATTAAGTAATAATTACATGATGTTTTGCTTTTTAGATTGCCAGTCATGGTGGCTATGTACAGATAGATTGGAAGAGAGTTGAAAAAGATGTTAACAAGGCAAAAAGGAAGATTAAAAAGCAGGCTAATAAATCAGCACCTGAAATTAACACCTTAATCGAAGAGGTAAAACGAAATGTATGTGGATTTATTTTATTTTATTTTATGAAATAATAAAATATGTATACATTATTATTATTATTTTGTAATCAGACTATATGTTGCATAATTGTTTATTGAACTATTGTGAACTTATCACTCAAGGACTCTTAATGTTACACTTCTATCTACTGAAATTCGCTTGTCATAAACATAGAATGTGACGGCAGATAAGAACCATTCGACCCATCTAGTCTGCCCAATTTTCTAAAAACTTTCATTAGTCCCTAGCCCTATCTTATAGTTAGGATAGCCTTATGCCTATCCCATGCATGCTTAAACTCCTTTACTGTGTTAACCTCTACCACTTCAGCTGGAAGGCTATTCCATGCATCCACTACCCTCTCGGTAAAGTAATACTTCCTGATATTATTTTTAAACCTTTGTCCCTCTAATTTAAGACTAAGTTTGTCTAATTAATCTAATTAGTACTTTCACTTTAGCAACATAACAGCTAAGGGCAGCACCTCTCCCACCCCCCAACAAATGCATATTTCATAAATATAGTCAATCCTTACCTCTACCTCCACCACCAGCGGTGGCTGTAGGGAATAAGATGTGTTTATGGAGGATACCTTGTTGTCACGGGATCCTCTATAGACATCAAAGCTGTACTCTCGCATATGCGCTAGAGTACAGCAGTGACGTCTGCTCCGAAGAGGACTCGACAGAACAAGATGACGGCACCCGCAATTAACTCCGTCGCTGATCTTTTAAAAAAAGTTTTTACTTTGTATCAATCTACACTTAGTACTCCATAATGATTAAGCAAATATCTGATTTTTATTTTCTTTATTGCAAATACATTAAATAGCAATAACTGAAATATCACATTGACAATTGTAAAGCTTTTTCTTAAGACATCCAGTGATAGGTTTTTCAGCATGCATGTAATAACTATCACATTCACGCAGCTGTCTATGACCTATTTTTGGACTGCCCCACGAGTGAGGAATCCAGCAATAGTAGGGTCTTGCTAGAATCATTAAGAACTACATTGTAGCAGCATGTTTGGCTATCGACATGAAGTGTATTTGATCAGTTTGGTGACTGGGACATAAACTCTTTCTTTTTGTCATATGCGGGTTAAGATTCCTTTGGTGTCCTCAAAGGTGCAGAATGGGGATATTAGTAAAATTAGCAAGATAATTTTCAACTGGGGCAAACAGCCTGTTTGCGGGCTGACATTTGTAAACACTCCCATTTCTGAGGAAAGGCAGTGTTTACAAATGTTCTTAAGGCCTTCGTTAGTGGCTGTCACTCAAACAGCAGTTATATACCCTTCCTAGGGTGGACCTGAACTCTTTGCAGGGCTGACATTCAGCGTTTTCAAGTTCAGCATGAACACGCCAAACACTTTCAATAGAGATGCATTGAGCTAATGCATATCTATGAGGAGATGCAGATTTGTGTAGAGCAGTGGTTGTTGAACATGCGCACTACCCCTTATCCGTCTACTGGGCATCATTGGACAGGCTGAATTAATCTGTAATGATTATCTCAGTTGGGAGGAGCAGCAGATACTGCAAGACCTGCATAGCTGGAGAAATAATGTAAGTAAAACTGATGTATTTAATCTGTTAACAGGGTCCCAATAATCTCAATATATAGATTACGTTAAGAGTTAGGTTGTTTTTCCTCAGAATTAAGTGGTTTGTGCTGTAGGCTTTGTGGGAATATTTAAAGGGACACTCCAGGCACCCAGACCACTTCTGCCCATTGGAGTGGTCTGGGTGCCAACTCCCACTACCCTTAAACTGCAATAATTACCTTGCAGGGTTAACTCCTCCTCTAGTGGCTGTCAACTAGCCAGCCACTAGAGGGCACTTTCGTGTTTAAAGCACATGCTCACGCTATGTGAGGACCTCCAGCGTCGCTGAAATCCCCATAGGAAAGTATTGAAAGCATTTTTCAATGCTTTCCTATAGGGAGGTCTAATGACGTCGGCGGGAGAGGAGCGTGGGCGGACCCTGAACCAGCGCCGAGGGACATCGGCTCTGGATACAGGTAAGTCACTGAAGGGGTTTTAACCCCTTCAGCAACTTGGGGTGGGAGGGAGAGGGGACCTGCAGTGCCAGGAAAACGGTTTGTATTCCAGGCACTGGAGAGTCCCTTTAACCCCTTAGTGACCAGACTGTTTTGGGGGGGGGTTTACCATTAAGGACCAGGGCTGTTTTAACATTTCTTCAGTATTTGTGTTTAGCTGTAATTTTCCTCTTACTCATTTACTGTACCCACACATTATATACCGTGCTTCTCTTCATTAAATGGTCTTTCTAAGGATACCATTATTTTCATCATAGCATATAATTTACTATAAAAAAAATTACAATATGCTGAAAAAAATAAAACATTTTTTTTAGAAATACCCATTGTTAAAGGATAGAGATGTCGCAAACTGCTCGCCGAACTGTCCGCCGGCGAACAATAGCGTGTTCGCGTTGGGCGAACATATGCGATTTCCGGTCCGCCCCCTATTCGTCATCATTGAGTACACTTTGACCCGGAACCTCACAGTCAGCAGACACTTCCTGGGAGGGAGGGTCTGCTGCTGATTGGCTGGAATGTGTCTGCTGACTGTGAGGTTCCGGGTCAAAGTGTACTCAATGATGACGAATAGGGGGCGGACCGGAAATCGCATATGTTCGCCCAACGCGAACACGCTATTGTTCGCCGGCGGACAGTTCGCGAACAGTTCGGCGAGTAGTTCGCGACATCTCTATTAAAGGACCACTATAGTGCCAGGAAAACATACTCATTTTCCTGGCACTATAGTGCCCTGATGGTGCCCCCACCCTCAGGGTCCCACTCCCGCCGGGCTCTGGGGAGAGGAAAGAGGTTAAACTTACCTTTTTTCCAGCGCCTGGCGGGGAGCTTTCCGCCTCCGACCCTCCTCTTCGGCTGAATGCGCATGCTTTCCTATGGACGCTTGCGTCTTCTCACTGTGATTTTCACAGTGAGAAGCACGCAAACGCCTCTAGCGTCTGTCATTGAGACCGCCACTAGAGGCTTCAGAGGCTGGATTAACCCATTTATAAAAAAAAAAAAAAAAAAAAAGAGTTAATCCTAGAGGGACCTGGCACCCAGACCACTTCATTAAGCTGAAGTGGTCTGGGTGCCTAGAGTGGTCCTTTAACATGTTTTTAGCTTTTTTTTTGCAAGTTATAGGGCTATAAGTACAAGTAGGACATTGCTGTTTCGAAATATATATTTTTAAAATGTATCAATAGTGACATTGTTACGCTGTTATCTGTCATAATTCTCTGAATCACACCTCACATGTGCATGTTTTTTTTAAAGTAGACAATCCAGGGAATTCAATATGGTGTATGTCCAGTCTTTTTTAGTAGCCACATAGTCACAAACACTGACCAAAGTTAGCATTTATATTTGTTTGTGTGTTAAAAATGCTAATAACTATTATGAACGCTAACTTTGGCCAGTGTTTGTGACTAAGTGGCTACTAAAAAAGACTGAACATACCCAATTTTCAATACCTTGGGTTGTCTTCTTTTGCAAATGGGATGCCATAAAGGGGGAAATTCTCCTTCCTGGGCTACCATAAGCTCTCAACGGCAACATAACCAATCTGGCAAATTTCAACGTGGAAAAAAAGGGAAAATCAAGCCTTATATTTGACCCTGTAACCTTCAAAAACACTATAAAATCTGTACATGGGGGTACTGTAATACTCGGGAGACTACGCTGAACATAAATATTAGTGTTTCAAAACCGTAAAACGTATCACAACAAAGATATCGTCAGTAAAAGTGCAGTTTGTGTGTGAAAAATGCAACAAACTTCACTTTCACTGACTATCATCGCTGTGATATGTTTTACTGTTTTAAAAACACTCATATTTGTGTTGAGCGAAGTCTCCCGATTATAACAATAACCCCCATGTAAAGGTTTTATGGTGTTTTGGAAAAGTTACAGGGTCAATATAGGGCTTGCCCATTTCAGTTTGCCAGATTGGTTTGCTGGGTCTGTGTTGCGTTTTGAGACCATATGGTATCCCAGGAATGTGAATTAACCCAATCATGGAATACTATTTTCAAATGTAGACAACCCAGGGTTTTCAAAATGGGGTATGTCCAGTCTTTTGTAGTAGCCTCTTATTCACAAACGCTGGTCAAAGTTAGCGTTTTTGTTTTTTGCATTTTTACTGGTGATATCATCGTCGTGATAAGTTTTACTTTTAGCAACACTCATATTTGTGTTGACTAAGTCTCCCGATTATAGCAATAACCCCCATGTAAAGGTTTTATAGTGTTTTGGAAAGTTACGGGGTTAAATATAGGGCTTGCCAATTAAATTCTCTGGACTGTCTGCTTGGGTTGTCAGGCAGATATATAATATATATATATATATTTTTTTTTTTTTTTTTTACAGAATCCAGCGCTCTCGCTTATTCACTAAACCATGATTTCAAATCTTAGAGATTGTAATAGCTTTATTTAAGAACACCTCACCTAGGCCAAAAATGATGGGGGTTTAGTTACATTATATGATCATACATTGCATAAGCCTGCCACAACGTCAATGTACCCCATATTCGGCAGGTCCTATCCTAGCAACCTAATGCTTGCTTTTATGAGATTAATCCACTTACTTGGGAAATGCATATATATATATATATATATATATATGTATATATTATATGTATATATGTGTGCATATATCTCAAAGTACACTTATAATGAAATCATATATACACTTTATATATGTATAATATATTATAAAAGGAGGACTGCCTGACAGCTTAGACAGTCCCCTTGCAGGCAGTTCCATAGACTCCTCTTGCGGCCATGTGATCATGGTGATCACATGGCCCTGGAGGGCCGGGGTGGCCGGAGCTGCTGCAGGGAGACTGGCAGTCTCCCCCCGACCGGGATCACCGATCCAGGTAAGTGTAGAGCTCTTGTTTCCCGCGGTCGTTAAGGGGTTAAAGAAACTCTATGGGGTCAGGAATACATGTCTGTGTTCCTATAGTGTTACAACCCCCTCCAAATTGGAAAGAGTTAAAACATTTTCTTTTTCCAGCGCTGGCCCCGCCTCTTTGACTGACCTCATTAAAATTGATTGCCATGGAGGCGGGGTGGGGCCAAACACTGGCCAGGCCAAATAGCATCTCCTAATAGAGATGCACTGAATCAATGCATCTTTATGAGGAAATGCCAGTGTCTCCATGCAGAGCATGATGACACTGAACAATCCCAGGAAGCACCTCCATTGGCCATCTGAGGAGTGGCCACTGGCCACATATTACACCAATTGTAATAAGAGACAAAATAATACTTTCCTCTAGTCATAATACTTTTAATTCTTTTGTATGAGATAAATTTTATTTTTTATTTCTCACTATAAAGTTGACATAAGAAACATAGAATTGGGGTATAGTTAACATTTTGGCTTCTTAAATATAGTGAGTAATTCTTTCCTATATATAGGAATCCGTTTAATTGAAAACGTTTTATACAAGGAAACAAAATAAAATAAAATGTTATTTCACTGAATATTTAAGTTGTTCTGATCTTTATTTGTTTTTCTTTACAGTCTACAGATTTTATCAAGCAGAACATCGTTGTGTCTGGTGGATTTGTTGGAGGTTTCTTATTAGGTCTTGCCTCTTAAAGAGCAATGTCATGGAAACAGCAATAACTATGACAAAGACTCAGAAATTTGTTTGTAAGAAAAAGTTGCGTCAGACACCACTGAAGTAAAATGGAAAATGCTGATCCGTTAATAAAGACACATTTTTGTTTTATTTTTCTAAGGGGGTTCTCCTGTAGATGCTTAACAAAGTCTAGAGTGCTTGCAAAGTCTGTGCCTACATTAAATGGCTGACTTTTGGCTACTTGAGATATGAACGTTTATTCCTTGCACTGCTGTTCCTATAATGACATTGTATCAAATTCAGCGTGGGTTACATTTTTTTTTTTCCATATTGTTTATGATGCCTGGCAACCTTGCTAGATTCCTTAATATTCATGTTAGATCATAAATATTTACTTTTTATATTTATTAAATATGTGGGGTTTGTTTTCCTCCTAACCAGTGCCAAAGCTATGTACTGTATTTGGCAATCAAAGCCCTATTGAAGAATGTTATTAAAAATAAAAATAAAAAACACTGTGTGTATTCTAGATTATTTTGAAATAGTATAGATCAAGCCTGCAAAAATAAATCACAGTATATGGTAACATTGCGTAGCTTTCTCTTATTAGGTTGTCAAAAATTGTAGTGACTTCCTTTTATTTTTGTTTTGATCCTTACATCCATAAATTGTTCACATTCATGTTCCTGTAGGTTTAATCTGTACATTGTTTTTAGAATATACATATATACAACCAAAATGTATTCCTCCACATTCAAAGAGTTATCCTTGAATGGATAGGACAGCTGTGCACAAAGCCTTCCTGCCTGCAAAAAGCATGTGATGCAGATCTGTCATGTATGTAGTCTTACAGCATAGTAGTAAATCCCAAAATAATGTATATTTTACATGTGTACATCAAGTGCAGCCCTTTTTACGTCAGCTTTTGCTTTTGATTGAAGAGAAGGGAAAAAACTCAGTTTGAAGTGATTTTCCAATTTTGCAACAAACTAGAAGAAAATTCCATCTTGACCCCAGAATGGCAGTAAGAACTTTCCTTGGATCAACAAGCTTTTGTTTTCATTCATATTCCTAGCCTGTATAACGCAATGGTTCTTGATCCTTCCCCATGTCTTTGGTGAAGTTAATGCCTCCAGATCCACAATTACAGTAGTTAGGTGGTAGCCTATTCTACACACACACTTCATTTCAACAGACAGCTGCACACCTCCTGATATCAACCAATGCTGGGCAGCAACTATTGACATCTTCTTGGAATGTAATGGGTTGCTGAGCTGCCTTTGTAGTAGTTGTATTTTTTGGCTTTGCATATAGACAAATTATGTGCGTGCATGCAATCTGTATAATTTAGCATTTTAGATTTGTATTTCTTTATAGAAACACTAGGCACCATAATCCCTTCACGCAATTTCGGTGGTTATAATGCCTGGAGTTTCCTGGCACTCTCACAAGATTCAATTTAAAAAAGTTTTTAAACAATTTGACTCTGAATGAGGGACCCTCAATTGCCACCTGCCCAAGTAAGGGCATAATATAACTTATAAGTAATATTCTAAAAAAAAGTTGAATTACAGGAAAACACTTTCTTCAGTTACTTGTTGCCGCAATTCCAGGTCCTCGGACACTTACATGATTAAATGTATCCTAATAATGGTGCTGGATTAATCACGAATGTAGAAATTGCCAAACAGCCCACACTCATAAGGATCTTGGAATAATCCACCAGGTCGATCATGGAAAGTGCATACTTTTATTGTAGAAAAATGGTTAACCGCATGTCCTAAAAATAGGTGCAGATCAAGTGACAGGCAAGCCAGAATCTTCAAGCACATGTCAATTAATGCAGGAGTTTGAGGTTATAAAATAAAAAAAATGTAATGATACAAAAATGAAAAAAAAAAACTACACCTGCCAGAAGCGGCGGGGAACAAAAATATGAAAAAAATTACAGGGGGGGCGTGGCCTGACACGGAGCTGAATGGACGTGCACTGATTCAGCTCCCTGAACATCGAGGTGCAATCCAACGCCATCGGAGGCCTGGAGGAAGAATGGGGAACCCCAAAAAACACGCCAATGCTCAGGGGGCATCCAGCAAGACGCCTACCGTGAAATCCAGCACTTTTACACGGTATTTCAAGGACGCGACGGCCCGCGAGGACGAGGCCGCAAATTCCAATATGGCGGCGGAATCGGCACCATCAAGCCCGGCACCATCAGAGGGCTCATGCGGTACCTTCACACAGGCAACTGATCCTGACATAAAAGATATGCTGAGGAACCTGCCCTCCAAAGCAGACATGGCCAATATGATTGGCAGATTAGAAGCAGCTCTGCAATCTAAAATCGACGCCATGGGCACAGACATACAGCAAGTAAGTCTTAAAGTTACAGACTTAGAAGAAGAAAAGGATGTAATGCAGGCCCAGATTGTAAATAATGCCTCCACATTAGAATCACAAGCTCTGACCCTGTCCTCTATGCAGAGGCAGCTAGATGACTTAGACAATAGGAGCAGGAGAAATAATCTGAGAATAAGAGGCCTTCCTGAAATGCAGGGGGAAGATTTGATGGCTACTTTGAAAGAATTATTTAATATTATACTGGGGGACCCTGTGGATAACCCAATATTAATGGATAGAGCTCACAGATCACTGCGCCCTAGAGGAGCAACGGCTGAAGCCCCAAGGGATGTAATCTGCAGGCTCCATTACTTCTCAGTGAAGGACACCATTCTCAGGGCCCTCAGAGAAACATCCCAACCTCTTATGTACCACGAAAATCACATACAAATTTTTCCAGATCTATCGTGGTTCATGCTACAAGCGAGGCGAGCACTAAAACCAATCACAGAGCTATTACGCAACCGCAACATGAAATACAGGTGGGGATACCCATTCGCACTGATTGTTCACCACAAAGGAGTGATGCACTCCATAGCTTCTCATCTGGATGTAAAACCATTCCTGAGAGCTCTGGAACTGCCAAACACCAACATCCCGGATTGGTATGCACCTCAACCAAACCAAGATTCTTCTATACTACCCCAAAGACAAAGATGGATTACTCCTGCCAAGAAAAGAAGGACCGACCAAAGACCCTTCTCCCCCAGGAGCAGAATGATGGGGAACCAAAGGGATGATCCTCGCTAGGCTCTCCACCCCACACCCTCCGTCTGCAGCAACAGGATTGACTGGTGGAGGGATGGTACTGGTACAATTATCTGGACATAGCCACAGTGACCAAGCATTGAGCTTTAAGGATACAACGTCACACGAGACCTTCGCGTTTCCCACGATCCTCGTATCACTGGGAACTTCAACTGGCGCAAGTGACATATCCCTATCTCTGTTGTCTGTAGATATGAGACCTCCAAGCCGCCCAAGATTTACACAGGAACAATGGACAAGATATGGCGCAAGTCCACACCAAGGGTCGATAGAAAATATGCCTTCCGGGCTACACATCTCTTGTACCCAGGACCAGGGACTTAGCGCTCGGGACTGACTGGAGCAGCCCCGTGAGGCGACAACTGATTATAAGGTTGGATATTACAGAACATGGAGGAAAAAAAAAAAAAAAAATCCACTGTAGGCCTTGAGATTGATGTTACTAGTAGAATTTAATTTTGACACCGACACCACGGATAGAAGTACCAGTATAAAAATGCATTGTTGTTTAGCCAGAGACGGATAGCATGGGGGACAGAAATAAGTAACAAAATGTGTTCAACCTCTCCCCTGGGTTCCCTTCTTCCTTCCCTTTTTATCTTCCCCATCTTTTCCCCACCCCCCCTTCTATCCACCCCCCCTCATCCAGAGCCTCCTACAAATTATGCACAAAGAATAATAGGATTGCAAGCCTCGGGTTCTAGTCAAACACCACACCCGCTTAGTCACTGTTCTGCCTCTTGCACGGGGACAGAATACGGAACACGAGAGAATAACTTCAAGTGTGTTATTTAGGATTACCTATAGTAAGTCCTCTAGCTACAAGAGGACAAGTGTCTGAGGACCCTCGTGGATCCTCAGTAGTTCATTATTTTGATATTATAATTTGATATTCTGTTTATATTGTTGCTGTTACTGTATAACTGTTGATTAATAAGTGAAAAGCAAACCCCCAATAACTGGGAACAAGATGGCAGGTAGGGATACTCAGACGGGGATTCCACAAACTGGACCCACGAACCCTCAAATTCACACATCCAACACAGAACAACCATTGACCCTTCGTATACACTCCCAGAACGCCAAGGGGCTGAATACCCCAGAAAAAAGGTCACTCGCCCTCACAGATTTCCAGAGATATCACGCAGATATCGTTTTTGTACAAGAAACACATTTTCGCAAGAACCAGGCACCCTCACTTAGAAACCGCAAATACCCCACGGGTTATTTCAGTCACTATACTGCAGCTAAAGCAAGGGGAGTGGCGATTCTACTAGAGAGACAAGTTACGTTCACCCTTACAGGACAACTAAATGATGACGCAGGCAGGTACATTTTCATTAAAGGAAAATTAGGCAACACCAATATCACGCTAGCAAACCTCTATTTACCTAATAAAAAACAAAGTGTGGTCCTAAGAAAAATACTCCACAAACTGTGGGACTTTAAGGAAGGTCTATTGGTAGTGGGGGGGGGACCTGAACATCTCATTGGACAGCCAACTAGACACATCCGCAACATCTAGCGCGTACCTAGAGCCCACTCGTAGCCGAATACTCGATATCCTACATGAGACCAGACTGTATGACAGCTGGAGGGCAATGCATCCCACGGGTAGAGATTACTCATTCTACTCCACAACTTCCGGCACTTATACTAGAATAGACATGTTACTCTTGCCACATGATTACCTCAATTTGATAAAATCAGCATCATATGGTCCTATCACATGGTCAGACCATGCCCCACTGACCCTAGATATAACGATACCCTTGCTAAACAGGGCCGCCCCACAATGGAAACTGAATGATCTTCTCCTAAATAAAGAGGAGGTCATAGAACAAATTAAAACAAGCGCACAGAGATACTTTGAAACCAATTCAAACCAGGACACTAGGCCAGAGGTGGTATGGGAAACCCACAAATGCGTCCTTAGAGGAGAAATCATTAAAATAGCCTCAGCTCAGAAAAAGCTTAGGGAGGCCAATATAACATCTTTAACTCGGGAAATAAGAAACCTAGAGCTCAATCACAGTAAGGACACTACGATACAAGCTTACAACAATTTACTAGCTAAGAGGGCGGAACTCAAAACCATCCTCAATTTACAGGCCACCAGATCTGTGCAGAGGACCAAACACACATATTTTACAAAAGGGGGCAAATGTGGGAAACTACTTGCGCAATCTCTACAACAACAAAGGCAATCAACATTCATATCACACATTAAGCAACCAGATGGCTCAGTGACACAATTAATGCCAAAAATCATGTCAGCTTTCCACACCTATTACTCCTCCCTTTATAATATAAGGGACACGGTGCCCCCCATGGACAAGATAAAAGACTTTCTAGCCAGCCGAATAAACACTACTATCCCACGCAACTGGGCGGAATTTCTAGACAAACCCATCACTACTGCAGAATTCCATGATGTAGTTAAACAACTCCCACTAGGAAAGAGTCCTGGGCCAGACGGCTTTACAGGCAAATACTATAAGGTTACACAACAAACTCTAGCAGAACCCTTTGTGCGAGCATTTAACTCTACACAAACCTCGAGTCAGGTACCACAAGAGACGTTAAATGCCACCATAACACTATTGCCCAAACCAGGCAAGGACCTTACAAACTGTGGAAGCTATAGACCAATTTCCCTAATGAATGTAGATCTAAAACTTTTCACCAAAATCCTGGCCAACCGACTGAAACCGCTTCTCCCTGACCTGATACACCAAGACCAAGCAGGGTTTGTGCCGGGGAGGGAGGCCAAAAACAATACTATGAAAATCCTCAACATAATGCATTGGGCAAAAGTCAACAAGATTCAGAGTGTACTGCTGGCTATTGATGCGGAAAAGGCATTTGATAGGGTGGATTGGTCCCTCATGACGGCCACGATGGAACATCTGGGCTTTGGACCTAGGTGGCTGGAATGGTTGGGGAGACTATATTCCACACCAAATGCCCGAATACGCATCAATGGCCAGCTCTCAGAAACGATATATATTAGGAACGGGACCAGACAGGGATGTCCACTCTCCCCATTGATTTTTATCCTTGTGTTAGAACCATTCATTCAGGGAATACGAAATAACCCACTTATACACGGCATCACAATAGGAAATATAGATTACAAAGTCTCTGCTTTTGCAGACGACTTGCTATTCACGATCTCTAAACCACTACACTCTATTCCGCATATCCTGGAGGAAATGAGTGCTTACAGTGATGTCTCGAACTTCCAAGCAAACCTCACAAAATGTGAGATCCTACCGCTGTACACAACCATAGATACAGATAAGTACATACAGAAAAATTTAAATTTTACATGGACAACGTCATCCATAAAATATCTCGGAATTCACCTACCATTTCAACTAAAACATCTCTATGACTTAAACTACACACCACTACTAGAAGCCGTCTCCAAAGATTTTAAGGCTTGGAATAAGCCATCCTATGGATGGTTTTGTAGAATAAGCATCATAAAAATGATGATACTGCCACGCATCCTCTATACATTACAAACAGTCCCCATAAAGCTGCCAGTTAGTTTCTTCTCGGCAATCAGAGGGGCGTTAACATCCTTCATCTGGTCACAAGCCAAACCTAGATTACCACTACGACTCTTAACTCAACCACGGGAGAAAGGGGGAATGGGCATTCCTGACATAGAACAATACTATAAAGCAGTGCACCTGTCAAGGATATATGAGTGGATGAAAGAAAAACCCTCCCAGCAGTGGGTAAACATAGAGAGTGAACAATGCCTAGCACCCCTTGAATCACTTCCATGGCACAAACTGAACACCGCACTAATCAAACATAAAAAACACCCACTCATCTTAGCTACACTACAGACCTGGTCAAAGGTAAATAATTCCACAAATATAGCACCATACCCATCACCACGATACCATATTACGCGTAACCCACTGATGCCATCAGGTATCACAGGTAGAACTTACGAGATTCAACGAGGGGCCGTAAACATAACTCTCCGGGACATGACCAAGGGTAATGCATTACTAACACTGCAAGATCTAACTCTCGGCCGACTCCCCACGAGCATGCAACAATTACGTTATGCACAATTAAAACACTTCATGGGGAGCCAGAGGCTACTGCCAGGGGGAAACAGAGAATTGTCAACCTTTGAACAGCTGTGTACAACACATCCGTTAAAAAAGAAATTGCTATCTACAATGTACAAATTAATGTTACACTCAGACAAAACAGATATTCCTGTTTTCGCCACTAAGTGGAGGAGAGAAATGAATTTAGACATTTCAGGGGAGCAATGGAAACACATATTCACCAGAATCCACAATATATCCACTGCAACCTCCAACCAGGAAAGTAATTATAAACGCCTAACCCGCTGGCACTACACGCCCTCCAAACTAAACAAAATGTTCCCAGGAACACAAAATATATGCTGGAGATGCGGGCAGGGGGAGGCTAACCCGACACATATCTGGTGGCAATGCCCTATAATCAAAAAGTTCTGGATCCGCATACACAAACTCATACAGATAATTATGCACAAACAGATACCCTTCACACCGGAACATCTAATATTTATGATGCCTCTCCAAAATCTCACTAAAACGGAAAACTATTTAACATCCCAAATGCTCATGGCAGCAAACCATCTAATTCCAGTATACTGGAAACAGGAAAGGATACCTTCTATTAGGGAATGGACCAACAGGGTAGAAATTACTAGGCAGATGGAAGGTATAACACACGCATTATCTAAAAACGACATAACTTTCACGCAAACATGGAAACCTTGGTCGATATACCTAGAAGGGGCGGATTGAGAAGTAGGATTTAGACAGCAGCACAAATAATAGCACCAGTTACGGGGGAATTCTCAAAAAGTCATAAGTTCAGCTCTTAAAAGGCACGAATATGTAGCACCATTCACACGTTGTATTTAGTAGTAGAAAAACTGCACTGAAAGAAACATATCCTATCCAATAATCATCGTTAATTGTCTAATGCCTGTCCGGGTCTCACTATATGTCATCATCTGAATAATGATTATCAATATACTGTAAATGTTATGCAACATTACCTGTTAAAACCACGCTGTTGTGGATTCGGATGTAATTAATGTACACATAATTACTGTTATGAAAATGGAAAACCAATAAAAAAATAAACACAAAAAAAAAATTAAAAAAAAATTACAGTAATGGATTATAACTCTGCATTAGCCATACCACTACATACCAACAACGAGAGGCAGTGATAAACTGAGTGCCGTTGAAGGATATCTTAAGAAAGGCATAGACAACCTTTGGAACGCATGACGTTTTAGAATACACCTACCATGATGCTTTGCCAGCAATATGGGTGATGTAGTCCACAACATCTGGAGTGCCAAAGGTTGCCTAAACCTGTCTTAAAACAAAGTTGGAACTGTTTTGTCTTGGCGTCAAGCATAAAGTTGACAAAAGGCAGAGCTACTGCCGGCAAGTTTTATTAATTCTCAAAGCCATTGCTAGCAGTGCTGTTGGAGTCAAATTTTGTCAATGCAGATCACTAAACATGATGTATGGTGAATGCACAGTCTTGCAGGATCCTCACTTTTGTAAACTTGAGCTTGAGGGAGAGACATAAACTTGTGCAGATCAAATGCCCGCAGTCAAAGAAAGAAAATGGCAGCACCTGCTGAGAATAGATTCAGGTAAGTACAGTCACAGGAAAAAGAAAGTACACCCTCTTTGAATTCTATGGTTTTACATATCAGGACATAATCATCTGTTCCTAAAAATACAATCTCTGATGTACAACAACACATGACAAATTACAGTGTCGTGATTTAGTTAACAAAAATAGAGCCAAAATGGAGAAAAACTAAGAACAGCTTATAGTTCGATAGTTTGTAGAGCAACCTTTAGCAGCTATAACTTGAAATAATCGTTTCCTACATGACTTTGTTAGTGTCTCACATTGTTGTGGATGAATTTTGGTCCACTCTGAGGTTGGATTTTCCTAATTAAAAGACCTGCTAAGGAACATATGAGTTTTATTATGGAGCAAACAAACAAAGAAAGAATAGTATGTACCACCTAAGGCACTATAATTAGAAAATAGCGTCCAGGTGGGTCCAGCTATCCATAGCAACAAACCAAGACTCCAGGAGTCTCTCAGGGCTTAACCCAGGTATAATCAAGACAAAAAAAGAACAAACAGATACATAGAATCCCAGCACATACAGTGTTTAGGAGTCACTGTATCACCTAGAGATGAAAGTAGTTATGAAAATAGTAACTACAAAAATAAAAATACCTACAATGAAGTGAATAGTATAAATAGGATCTGGTGAAAAAATAATGAAGAAAAAAACAAAAAAATCCTAATTCTCCTTTGTGACAAATATATAACAACTCAGAATCATTAGGTTCAAGTGGAGTCCAAGTATATATACAGATGAGCTTTATTAGATAAGGCTCTTGGTGTAAGAGAACATCCCCCTGATATATCTATATATCTAGTGTTATATAGTGACATATCTCCTGGTCAAGTATATCCTATTTATTTATAAAATATTTTACCAGGAAAGATACATTGAGATTTCTCTCGTTTTCAAGTATGTCCTGGGTCCACAAATCATTGCATTGTTACATTAGGTACAACAAAATACAAAAACAATATTAATACACAATATATACAAAATTTACCATAGAACAGGCAGGAAATATATAATCAACCATGACACGTGCATTCTGTTTTGAGGTATGTAGAGAGGGATCTCTTAAATGACTTTAGGCTTAGGGAAGATTTTAAATTGTGCGGGAGGTCGTTCCACAATTGCGGTGCTCTGTAGGAGAAGGAAGATCGGGCCGCTTTCTTTTTGTATTGAGGCAGACTAAGTAAAGTGCTTGTACTGGATCGGAGCTTATAGAAAGTGGGAACAGCTGGGGAAAGCATTTTGTTCAGGTAGGGTGGGAGTTTCCCAGAAAAGCTCTTAAAAACAAGGCTGGAAAGATGAAGGGTGCGTCTGGATTCCAGCGATAGCCAGTTTAGTTCCTTTAGCATGTCACAATGATGGGTCCTGTAATACATTGTAGCACAAATCGGCAGAACGAGTTATACAATGTGTTGAGTTTATTAATGTGGGATTGCGATGCAGACGCATATACTACATCCCCATAATCAATGATTGGCATCAGCATTTGCTGTACAATCTTTTCCTTTACTGTAGGGCTTAGGCAGGATTTGTTTCTGTACAGGGCACCTAATTTTGGATAAAGTTTAGATGCAAGCTTTTCTATGTGCAGGCCAAAAGATAGATTGGGGTCTAACATCATACCCAAGTATTTGAAAGAGTGGACCGCGGACAGTGTGCCATTTGAATTTGTTTTGATGGATAGGTGGGAATTGTGTAATTTGTGTAATTTAGGTACTGTTCAAAAGATCATTGTGACAGTTTTGTCAGTGTTCAGGAAGAGTTTGTTTTTTGCGATCCACTTTTCTACCTTTGTAAACTGGTCTTGGAGCAAAGCCTCAAGTTGCGGTAGATTGGATTTGCTCGCATAGATTACCGTGTCATCTGCGTACATGTGTACATTTGAGGATTGGCAGACAATAGGCAGATCATTTATAAATAATGTAAATAGTAGGGGGCCGAGAATGGAACCCTGAGGAACACCACATGTGACTGGGAGAGGGAGGGAGTCACTGTCAGAAATGGACACATATTGCGAGCGATCCGATACATACGATCGAAACCAGTTTAGAGAACGATCACCAATACCTGAGTTTTTGAGTTTGTGTAGTAGAATGTTGTGGTCTACTGTGTCAAAGGCCTTAGCAAAATCAAGGAAAATTGCTTCAGTTAGGGCTCCTTGTTCCATGCCAGTTTGGATGTCATTGCAAACTTTTAGGAGGGCAGTTGTAGTGGAGTGATTCTGGCGAAAGCCCGATTGATCAGGGGTCAGATAGTTTAATTGTTGGTAGTACTCACAAAGTTGCGTATGGACACATTTTTCTAAGATTTTTGACAATACCGGGAGCAATGATATTGGGCGATAGTTAGAAACCAAAGTAGTGTCACCACTTTTATGGATAGGCACTACTCTCGCAGTCTTCCAAAGTTTGGGTATGTATCCAGACACCAAGGATTCGTTAATTAGAGTTGAGACGGGTTTAGCAATTGCCGGCGCACTGAGCTTCAACAGCATTGCTGGGATTTGATCAGGTCCGGACTGGTTTTTCATTTTTAGATTATTAAGATGTTTTTTAATGACACTAACAGGTACAGGTCTAAAATTAAACTTATCTATATTGGGCCTTTGCAAATTTAGTGGGACCTGATCCACATGAATCTGTGTATTGTAAATCTTAATTATGAACTTGTGGCTCAATACACAGACTAGTTTCCTTTCCCCCTAAAAGTAATCAGTATATCAAAGGTACTCTTTAGGGATATCAATCAAGTATCTAATAGGATGTGGCAGATATAAGTGATAGAGAACAGCTAGGTCAAGTTGTCAGAAATGTATATACTTGTATCCTAGTTGATACCCAGAGGATTAAATACTATCAGAGTTTATAGGTAGAGAGTAGAAAATGAAAAATCTATTGCCAGCAAAAACAGCCGGTAGTAATGAAATTAAATAGCCTCTCTCCCTGGTAAACTATATAGACATAGGAGCAGAAAATAGATGGAAAAAAATTATAAAAATTATTAGTGATTCAAGGACATTAAGTCCAGTGGACACAAAAAAGTTCCCTAGGTTTGCAAGTAAATATATACAGTTAAAATCACATTTTATTAGAGAACATAAGTATCAAAATAAAATCATCACACCACATCTAAATCCGTAAGGAGAGCTAATGAGTTCAGCAAACCTGATGGGGAGAAGGGGTAGCAGAATATAGGAGGCTGCTGAATGGCAAATAGTGAATGAAATATAAGGTGGAAATCTATATACTATAACCCTCACCAGCAGGTGAAGAAAATGAAAGTATGTATCACTTGCAATGAAGCTAGTCTGTAGTGCCAGATGCAAAAGCACCGACAGAATAAACTGTGTATGTAGCCTCTTGTTACCGGCGTCTAAGATCTATCCGATTGTACACACCTGCTCTGTTAAAATATTGAAACAATATTTCTCACAGTTGTTGTACAAAAAGATCTAGATAAATGTAACAGGAGACAGAAGCATAAATAAACATGCCTTCACTAGACTAATAGTATATAATATATATGACTTCAAGGTCACTATCTGGAGAAATAGAATGAGGGCTTTGGAAAAGTATCCACCTTAACGGTTAAAAGTTAAACAGCTAAGCACAATAACCCATAGTATACATACTACCTCATAAGTCGATAGCTGAATATATGGATGGTAAATAGACTGTACACTAAATAGCCATAGAGATAAGTCCCTTAATCATAATTTCCTTCCTGCTGAAAATACCCTAAGAAACCCCCCATCATAGAGAATAGTAACTTTGGGTATGCTATATAAATCCTCTAACCATAACTAAAAAAGTGCCAAACTAAAGAGTGCTGTGAAAATAAAATAAAAAATATAGTCATAAAGCCTGATGTGTGTTTCGGCGCTACTAAAGCGCCTTCATCTAAGGCGCCTTAGTCTAAATCATAATAAAGTGCCGTACCCTGTGCCTATAACGCAGGAAGAAACACGCCTGACGCGAGTTTCGGTGCTATATGAGATGCACCTTCGTCAGGCCCTTTTAAATAAAGATTGTTGTTGTTATAAGGCTTTTTCCTGTGGAATAAAATGGTGTTGGTAAAATATATATATTATTACAACTGCTGCAGCTATACTGTTCAGAAGTTTACAATCAAGATCTTTGTTCAGAAGTTCACAAACAAGCTTTTTAGATATGTTTGAATTCAAGCCTTTAATTCATCTTGTTACTCTGATAATTGTACTGTATACATGGTGTCATATTTCTAACTAGCAGGTTTTGCTTTACCTGCACCATAGCTTTTTTTCTCAGGCTGTGGACCCCACAATTTATCGAAGGGTGAACCACCATGTGTATATATATATATATATATATATATATATATATATTTATATATATATATATATATATTTATATATATATATATATATATATATACTTTCTCCTGTCTCAAATAACAGGGTATATGGTATGTTGCCTGGATACCACCAGAACCACCAGATGGACTGTGCACTACTGAGGCATTACCGATAGGGGTGAACCCCCTTACTTCTGAGGTGACCTCCCACTAACATATGTGCATTTCCCAACTAATTGCTACGCACATCGTTATAGAGGTAACCCTCTCTAGCCCTGGGATGAAGCCAAGCGATACATATATCCGCCCAGTAGTGGCGAACGGATCTCTAGAGGTGACCCCCCAAGCGTTCTGAACCCATGGAGGCACTGTAACAGGGTTTCACGGCTCCCAATTTCACGTGCCTATAGCCCCATTTACATATAGACCACTAATCCCGGTCACACAGAGGGTGACCCCCTCTTCTGGCTGCCTGCCAATACTGCCTCACTAAACAGTGGGCTTTGATTGCCTGATAACCTAGGTAAACCCTAGTTGTACGCGGAGGCTTGCTCTGTGTTTTAACATGTGTACTTCTGTACCTCAACCGAGTCTATTTTCGTACCCAGAACACAGACCACACAGTGGTATCGTCACTAAAAGATGGATGATATCCATATGGCGCGGAATCTCTTCCTCGCAAATGATTGGTTCACTTGTCTGGACTTGAAGAATGCATACCTGTAGGTTCCAATCAGAGAGTCGTCCATTCATTCGTTTCATTTGACGGGACCGACCATGCCAATTCACTTGTTACCCTATCTATCTAGAAGACATGCTGATACTCTGCGAGTCCGCATCCGGACTACGCTCTAAAGTGAGGTTTATAGTTCTATTTATAGGATCATTAGGTTTTATAGTGAACTTAAAGAAAATTGACTCTATCCCCATCCCAAGAAGTCCAATTCCTCGGGTTCGAAATAGATTCAACAAAATGTGTCCTACGTCTTCCCACTGCGAAAGTGGCCTCAATTCGTAAGGAGATTCATTGTACTCTACAAGATTCGGTTCCCCTTTGGCTCCTCGCCCGAGTAGTGGTACTCTATTCCTCTTTTATACCATTACCAGCGGAAAGGACACACCTACGACCACTGGGTACCGGTAAAACATGAGGTGCGAACGTGACTTCATTGGCAGCTCCTACGTATGCAAGCCTGGAATGGCAGAGCCATCTTCGGGTCCACACCGGATTTCATATTGTTGTTGGACGCCAGCTTCTGAGGCTGGAGAACACACTGCATACACGCTTTCAAACGGGACCCATGGTCAGGGGAAGAGACACCCCTTCACATAAATTGCTTGGAACTGATCGCGGCATCCTTTGCGATCCGCATCTTAGCCAAGGACATTGAGGTATCCTCCAAATCCGCATGGACAATATGTAAGCAGTTCAATACATTAACCATCTGGGCAGGGCCCGATCTCATGCCTTGACAGAGGCAATGAGAACCAGTTACTGACTTTGCCTTCCCTGCAACTTCACTCTCCGAGCAGAGTTTCTTCCAGGGATCACAAATGGGACAGCAGAAATTGGTGACTGGACACCTTGGTATTTGCCATGCTGAGAATGGTCAGAGGACTGTTCCACATAGATCTATTTGCCTCACGGATGAACACACAAACTACGAGATGGATTCTACATCCATGTCATCCGTTTTTTCCCAAAGGTTCCCCGTCTCTGTGTGGTGAACACTCTACTACGTTATGTGAAGGTTACTGCATCTCTTCGGTCTTGAGGCAGGCCAACTTCTTATTTGATTTCTGTCAGACTTCTCATGCATCCTTTGCTTTTCGGGTACACCATTAAAAAATGCTAAATTGAAGCCTCCTGTCATGATGTAAAATTGTAGATTATGCTAATGTAATGTACCTATAATCTTAATTTTAATAATGACAGTAGGCAAATATTTTCCCTCCCTTGGCTTCCCTCCTTTGACGGTTATTGTATTTTAGCCTGTTTACGTTTTCTTATTGGTTTATTCAGTTACGGTTTTCATACTGATTGTATAAGTCTAGATACGCTGATTTGTCTGGTGGTAGTGCACGAATGTTGAGTTGTCTACTCTAGTATGTGGATATATCGCACATCTCGTATACAATATCCTAAGTTGATATGTATACTGATATATACTCAGGGCCGGTGCAAAGAATTTTGGGTACATAGGCGAAGATGCATTTTTCCGCCCCCCAAAAAACATCTTCACCCATGTGCCTCTTAACCTCCCTTTTGTGTTTCTTATCCCGTCTTTTAAATATCTGACTCCTTTTGCCTTTGTGTGTCTCCTATCTCTCCTCTTTGTATGACTCTTACATCCTCCCACATTTTGTGTCTTACTCCTCCCAGCCCCTTTGTGTGACTCCTTTTCTCCCAGCCCCTTTGTGTCTCTTTCCTTCTCAAGCCCCGGTGTGTATTTCTTTCACATCCAGCCCCTCTCCCTGTCCCTTAATGGTCCCCTCCCTTCTCTGACCCTTACTGTACCTCTCCCCTCTCTCCTCCTTTTCCTGTTCCTCAGTGTTCCTTTCCCTTCCCCCCTCCTTTCCCTGTCCCTTAGTGTTCCTCTCCCCTCCCCTCTCTGTTCCTTGTCGCTTAGTGTTCCTCTCCCCCTCCCTCCTTTTCCTGTACCTTAGGGTATCTCTCCTTAGGGTATCTCTCACAGACACTGTCCCTTGGTGCGCCACCCACCCCCATAGTGGTCCCCTCCCCTTCCTGGTGTGCCTCCTACCTTTCTTGTAGCGTGGCTGAGCGGAGCGAATCCCGGTACAGTGAGCTTTTCCTGTCAGTCCTGCCAGGTACAGGAAACAGAAGTTCCTGTACCACGGTACATTCCGCTTGGCCACGCTACAGTCAGGGGTGTATAAACACTGACAGTCACACACACTCAGTGACAAACACACAGACATCTCTGACAGCCAGACTCACTTATCTGACACACTCATTCATTGACAGACACTCACACGCACACTGACGGGCACACAAACACTGACAGACTCATTGACAAACACACACTGACACACACACACACACACAAACTCACAGATACTGACAGACACGTAGTCACATGCACACACGCACATACTGACAGACACACTCCCACACACTGACAGACACACATACTCACACACACTCACTCACACACACCGACAGACACACATACTCACACACACTGACAGACACACATACACACTGACAGACACACACACACACTGACAGACACACACACTCACACACTGACAGACACACATACTCACACACTGACAGACACTCACTCACACACATACACTGACAGAACCATACAAACTGACAGACACGTACTCACATGCACACACGCCATTATTACTGACAGACACACATACCACACACTCACTCACACACACCGACAGACACACACTCACTCACACACACTGACAGACACACACACTCACACACTGACAGACACACACACTCACACACTGACAGACACACATACTCACACGCTGACAGACACACTCACTCACACACATACACTGACAGAACCATACGAACTCACAGACACTGACAGACATGTACTCACATGCACACACGCACATACTGACAGACACACTCACTCATTCACACACTGACAGACACACACACTCACACACTGACAGACACACACACTCACTCACACACACTGACAGACACACACACTCACACACTGACAGACACACATACTCACACACTGACAGACACACTCACTCACACACATACACTGACAGAACCATACAAACTCACAGACACTGACAGACACGTACTCACATGCACACACGCACATACTGACAGACACACATACTCACACACACTCACTCACACATACTGACAGACACACATACTCACACACACTCACTCACACACACCGACAGACACACACTCACACACTCACTCACACACACTGACAGACACACACACTCACACACTGACAGACACACATACTCACACACTGACAGACACACTCACTCACACACATACACTGACAGAACCATACGAACTCACAGACACTGACAGACATGTACTCACATGCACACACGCACATACTGACAGACACACTCACTCATTCACACACTGACAGACACATACACTCACACACTGACAGACACACACACTCACTCACACACACTGACAGACACACACACTGACAGACACACTCACTCACACACACTGACAGACACACACACTCACACACTGACAGACACACATACTCACACACTGGCGTGGGTCTCTCATTGGTGGTCCAGTGGGGCTGCTGGGAGGCGTGCGGCTGAATTGGATGCCGAGGTGCCGAGGGAGCTCTGATCTCTCTGATCTGCTCCCTCGCAGGCTGCTTACTGATGCCGCGGGAGCCGGAATATGACGTCTGTCTGTGTGTGTGCATCAGGTGCCTGTGTGTGTGCTGTGTATGTGTGAGAGATGCTCTCTATGTGTGTATGTCTGTGTGAGGGGTGATGTGTGTGTGTGAGGGGTGCAGTGTTTGTGTGTGAGTAGTGCTGTCTGGGTGAGGGATGCTCTATGTTGTGTGAGGGGTGCTCTGTATGTATGTTAGGAATGCTGTTTGTGAGGGGTGCTCTGTGTGTGTGAGGGGTGCTCTGTATGTGTGTTAGGATTGCTGTTTGTGTGGTGTGGTGTGTGTGTGTAAGGAGTGCAGTGTTTGTGAGGGGTGCTCTGTGTCTGTATTATGGGGGCTGTGTTTGGAAGGGTGCTCTGTGTGTGAGGGGTGCGGCGTTTGTGTGAGTGATGCTGTCTGTGTGAGGGGTGCTCTGTGTGTGTGTGAGGGGTGCTGTATTTGTGAGGGGTGCTCTGTGTGGTAGGGGTGTGGTGTTTGTGTGTGATGGGTGCTGTGTGTGTGAGTGGTGCTGTCTGTGTGAGGGGTGCCCTGTGTGTATGAGGGGAGCTGTATTTGTGAGGGGCACTCTGTGTGGTAGGGGTGCTGTGTGTGTGAGGGGTGCTGTGTGTGTGAGTGGTGCTGTCTGTGTGAGGGGCACTCTGTCTGTGTGAGGGGTGCTCTGTCTTTGTGTGAGGGGTGCTGTGTTTGTGTGTGAGGGGTGCGGTGTTTGTGGAGTGGTGCTGTGTGTGTGAGTGGTGCGGTGTTTGTGTGTGAGGGGTGGTGTGTGTGTGAGGGGTGCTCTGTCTGTGAGGGGTGCCTGTCTGGGTGCTGTGTGTGTGAGGGGTGCTCTGTCTGTGTGAGGGGTGCCTGTCTGTGTGTGAGGGGTGCTGTGTTTGAGGGGTGCGGTATTTGTGAGTGGTGCTGTGTGTGTGAGTGGCCGCTTGTGTGTGAGGGGTGCTCTGTATGTGTGTGAGGGTGCTGTATTTGTGAGGGGTGCTCTATGTGTGTGTGAGGGGTGCAGCATTTGTGTGTGAGAGATGGTGTGTGTGTGAGGGGTGCTCTGTCTGTGTGTGAGGGGTGCTGTGTTTGTGTGTGAGGGGTGCGGTATTTGTGAGTGGTGCTATGTGTGTGAGTGGTGCGGCGTTTGTGTGTGAGGGGTGGTGTGTGTGTGAGGGGTGCTCTGTCTGTGTGAGGGGTGTTCTGTCTGTGTGTGAGGGGTGCTCTGTGTGTGTGAGGAGTGCTCTGTATGTGTGTGAGGGGTGCTCTGTATGTGTGTGAGGGTGCTGTATTTGTGAGGGGTGCTCTATGTGTGTGTGAGGGGTGCAGCATTTGTGTGTGAGAGATGGTGTGTGTGTGAGGGGTGCTCTGTGTGATTTAGGTAAACTAGAAACTGACATTTAATGAGGATAAGTGCAAGATAATGCATCTTGGACGTAAAAACCCAAGGGCAGAGTACAGAATATTTGATAGAGTCCTAACCTCAACATCTAAGGAAAGGGATTTAGGGGTGATTATTTCTGATGACTTAAAGGTAGGCAGACAATGTAATAGAGCAGCAGGAAATGCTAGCAGAATGCTTGGTTGTATAGGGAGAGGTATTAGCAGTAGAAAGAGGGAAGTGCTCATGCCATTGTACAGAACACTGGTGAGACCTCACTTGGAGTATTGTACGCAGTACTGGAGACCGTATCTCCAGAAGGACATTGATACTTTAGAGAGAGTTCAGAGAAGGGCTACTAAACTGGTTCATGGATTGCAGGATAAAACTTATAAGGAAAGGTTAAAGGAACTTAACATGTATAGCGTGGCTGGAAAGACGAGACAGGGGGGATATGATACAAACATTTAAATACATAAAGGGAATCAACACAGTAAAGGAGGAGACTATATTTAAAAGAAGAAAAACTACCACAACAAGAGGACATAGTCTTAAATTAGAGGGACAAAGGTTTAAAAATAATTTCAGGAAGTATTACTTTACTGAGAGGGTAGTAGACACAAACACTGAAGTGGTAGAGGTTAACACAGTAAAGGAGTTTAAGCATGCGTGGGATAGGCATAAGGCTATACTAGCTATAAGATAAGGCCAGGGACTAAAGAAAGTATTTAGAAAATTGGGCAGACTAGATGGGCCGAATGGTTCTTATCTGCCGTCACATTCTATGTTTCGATGTTTCTAACTATTTGGTCATTTTATGCAGCGACCTTCGTTCCTGCTTAGCAAGCATTGCATTACAGATTTCTGACCTATGTTGGAGCAATCAGAAAACATCATTAAAGCCTATATTTCCATTTTATTAAAACCTGAGCACAGATTTTACCTCTCAAACATACGTGCCAGTATGTGTAAAGCCCACCTCTTGCACTTCCACCAAGGCAACTTTGGTCTGTCTACATAGTAATACAAGTGCTACCGGTCGTCATATTGGAGAACATGTAGTGACAACAGCTGCTATTCAGAGAATTAATTGTGATTTCTTTATTCCAGCTGTCTGTCGGCCTTGCGAGAATGAAGACCTACTTATGGCAATTTGCAACAGTGATTTTGGTGAGTTTAAAAGAAATACAATGTATCTGCTGTCTTACCTTGCTCTGGTTAACACAGTTCTCCAGCAGAATTCTTACCAACCTGACCTCTAAACTTTCATTATCCAACTTATCTGTCCTTTATCCAATCCATCCAACCAACACATTCTCATGGTTTCCTTGTTGATTACATAATTAATATGTTTGGTCATATATGTTCACGTCTGCATTCAGTGTAATGCACACTAGATCATCTCCAATTAGTAAATGTAGCCCCCTACTTGATCTATTTATCTCTTTGAACCCTGTGCATACCTGGTGTCCAGGGTTATCCTCTCTGGTGAATCGAGGTATAGCTGGGAAAATGAGGCCTTCACTCCGGTGAACTTGCCCACAGATCTACTGCACAAGCTGGGAAAATGAGGCCTTCACTCCTGTGAACTGGCCCACAGATCTACTGCACATTCCATGAACCCTCTGGACACATCTAAGCTCAATTGGTTTGACACACACAGCTGAAACCTCAATGCAGTTTGCAAAGTATTTCCTTGACCATAATGAATCTCACCTTCCCCCAAGAGTTACCAAGAGAGATTTTTAAATTTCAGGCTTTAATGCATAGAACCTTTAGGAGGCAGACGTCTGTTGGGACACAATATTTATTAATACCTCATGCAAGTGACCAATGGCTAGCACTAAGATTAGTTCCAGAAGGACTGGAGTAAGATCACATGTAACATATTGGACACCTCAATACTGAAATGCAAGACAATTCAATGAAATGACTGAATTAGACTATCAGGCATTCTGTCCTGATTTTTTCTATCACTGTGGATTAAATTTCCACAGACTATGCATGTTTCTGTGTATGCTCTTTTTACAGCCCTGCAGAATATGGGTGTTCTAAATCAACCATTTCGAGACAGACATCTTTCCAGGTTCTTTGTATAAAGACCCTGAAGATAAAGTTTTATACAAATGCTATGATTACTAATGGTTTTGAATCCTTTCACTAGTTCAGGCATGTTGCTGCACAACTTCTGTAATCTCCCCTTTAAATTAGCACAGTAAGTCACTGTTCTATCTTAATAGAGTCAATGTATTTCACTCCGTAACATGGCCGGTTAAAGGGACACTATAGACAACCAGACCGCTTCATCTCCTTGAAGTCGTCTTGATGCAGTGTCCCTGTCCCCTTAACCCTGCAATGTAAAACACTGCAAGATTTACATTGCAGCGCTAAGACTGCCTTTAGAGGCTGTCTACCAGACAGCCACTGGGGGCACTTCTTGCAGATTCTCTGAGCTTGACTACATGAAACGATGTTGGATGTCCTCACGTTGTACATGAGGAAATCTAGTGTCATGCAAAATCCCACTGAATCAATGCTTCTCTATGGGTAAAGTCTGATGTGAGTGTGGAGCTAGCCGCTCATATACTTTAGATCCCTCCAGCGGCTGACGTCAGCAGAGGAGGAGCATGACCCAGCACCAAGGTCCTTCAAGTGCTGGAATTAGGTAAGTGACCGAAAGGTTAGTTGGTTTTTATTTTAACACTTTTAAGGATGGGGGAGGGGTTAGCAGAAGATGCGTGTGCAGAGGGACACGTTAGTGTTAGGAATACACCTTTGTATTCCTAACACTAAAGCGTTCTTTTAATTAACTTTGCCAGAAGTTAGAGATACATAATGAGTATTTAAATACAGATTTCAAAAACTGGACATTCTTAACTTCTATCAATTAAACCTTTCTTAACCTCATGACCCTTTATTCTGTGTGAGTGGGGTCAAGATGTACGTTTTAAATAGCTGCCTGTGTGAGTGGGAGATCTGGAGACAGGACCCTCAAGTAAGAGTATAATCACCATTACAAAAGTTAAGATAAATTAGGTTTAACTTAATTAGAAACTCCCTTCACCAGTCAAAATATTTTCATAATTAAATTCTATAGAGATTAACATTTATATGTATGTATTTCTGTATAGTTCTTGAAAGACTTAGTTTGTGAGACAGAAAATAGTCTGTTCTCAACAAGATATTATGTCATCATTTCATAAAGGTCCTGATTTTAATTATTTTTTTTGTCTACCTCAGTTAATTAGTTAAAGTGACTCCCTTATACTCCCTTTTAATTCATATGGGTAGTGGGAAAATCTGTAAGGTCACATATATCACATACTGTAAATCACACACACATATATATATATATATATATATATATATATATATATATATATATAATTCTTTATTTAGGTTTGTACAGAAATACTATAAAATATTGCATTTTGCAATATACTTTATATCAATACAACTTGGTAAGTTCAGCATCTCCAAACTGTTAGTTTTGACATTTATAAAACCAACCAATTGAAAATTTGTAAGGTCACATTTTATTGATATATGGAAATAACACTGTAAGAAACAGACCATGGGGGCTCAATTATTAGCTCCTAGTTCATTTATCAAGATTAAATAAAACATGTCTGAAACCGGTTTTCCTGCTGTTGCCACCAACAATTTGAAGCTAAAAACTGTCATTAGCATCCTAATCATTCCCCAGATTAGGGACATCCGCAAAGTTAGCACCATTACCCCACTGGATATAAACACAGCTATGTACAATGTGGTATTTTATATCTTTTATGTTTAGTGGTTCGAGGTTCCATTGAGAGTGTGAGCCATGACGAGGTCAGTCGTATGTCTCGAGTGGACATCAAAGCTCGGAAAGTATACAGACAAAGAAACAGCATATTCCAGTTAGATGATTCCACCGGTGATTGGGCTGGACCCATAAGAACATTGCTGCAGTGCAGAGTCAAGAAAGGAGAAGGAGAATTCCTCTTCACTGGGAGTGAACATTTTGGAGATGCATGGTTGGGATGTGCTCCTCGATTAAGAGACTTTCACCATATCTATCAGGAAGCCAAGGAGCTTAGGACAAACCCATGTGAATTTCAGGCTGACTGAAAATAAACTCCGTTAAGAAAGAACATTCTAAACAGAAACATTGTGATGTATTTTTAAGAGAAACTATAACAGACGTAGACAAACCAAACGAGTTCATGGTTCCATTTAACCAAACAAATCTGAATAAGGAACAAATAAAAGCTTCTTTAATTTCGTGCATATTTGAACTGATCCATCTTGGCACCTCTCTGTGTGTATACAGTGCTGATAGAAGTAATACTTTAACATGAATTAAATTGGTCATTAGATGTCAAAGATAACACTCCATAAGTAGATGAAATCTTACATATTTCATATAACTGATCCATCACGGTTTACCTAATCTAATTTGCTAGATATTATGGTTAGTGTACATTCACCTAATCTTTTTGTTTCTGTTCTTCAAAGAGCTTTAATGATATCAGAATAAAATGTATTTATGTTTTTAAACGTTTGCTCATTTCATTTATTTCTTTAAATTTTTTATTTTTCTGTGCATATTATTATTACATGCATGCTTGTCATGCCCCAACAGCAATTGACGAGCTAGAAACCTTACCATATATATGAGCACATTGAGGACATTTATATAATTCTTGCACATTTTTTAAAGGAGTTAATAAACGTGAATGAACTATTGCTAGAGTGAGGCTAAATAAGTGTGATTGAGGATTGCTGGCCTTATGAGGCTAGCCTATGATTTGTTTTAGCATTGCTAGCAGTAGTATGCTTCAGCGATGTGAGAGAGTGTTAGTAAATGCAGGCATGTTTAAATACCGCTTTATCAGACTTATCCGAACCCACTCAACTTGGTACCTGATTAGATGAGGGTCATTCCGTAAAGTGTGTGAAGTGTGTGGGCATTTGTTACTGCTGAGCTTTATGTTTGTGTTGAGTGAGACAGAGTGATAATGATATCGTGCTGGTAAGGTGAAGCGAGCCTAGGTGTGCATTAAGTGATGTTGGTTGGTGTTGAGTTGCATAATGTGTAGTAATGTGTATGTAGTCCGGGGAACAGGCAAGTGTCCACAGGTGCTGGCTGTGACTATGATGCTGGTGTTTGGTCGGGTGTTGGTTGCTGTCCAGGTGTGAGTGATGGGTCTTCCAGCCTATTGAGGAAAGTCCCAGTGTGAGAGTGCCCTGCTGGTATGTCGGGGGGTGGGGGACCTCCTGCCTTCTGTTTTGCGTTGCCGTATGGTTGGGGGTTCTCCTGCTAGGTTTACGGGTGCCTCTCTGCTGTGCCTTTCCATAAGTTTCGCGGCCGAAATCTCCGCCGGCCCACAGCTACATGAGGAGTCGTTGTGTAGCTCCCCCTGCTTCGACCACTCTTGGTGACGTGGGCAGAATCTCGGGGTGCTGTGGTCCCCTGGTGGCGGTATTGTGTCACCTGTCGAGGGTGGGGGTTAACCACTGGAGCCCAGGGTTGCGGGAGCGGGTTTTAGCTCGTGAGGGATTCTGGTGTATGGGAGGAGGATTGGCTGTCCCTGCACGTTTGTTTAGAGGTATAGTAGCTGGCTTGCTACCCTCTGCTTTAGGGGGTGATTGATGTGGCAGGCGTGCTTCTCGTTGCCTCTCTTCAAGTTTGCTCCAGAAGGCCGCAAAGATGGCATCCAATCGGGTCAGCGTAGTATCCATCAGGCCTTGTGGTGGGGTATGAAGCATGGCGTCCGCCATCTTTGCTTCATTATAGGGACAAGCTTCTTTCAGCGTGTTCGTAAGGCTGGTCGCAGGCTCACCGGTACCAGGTAAGTAGAGCCGGGATGCTGGGGCCATGATAACCCCCACTGGCGGGGGGGATCAGGAGCATTTCCAACGCTCACCTGGTTCAGCAGCTAAGCTGGCAGGGAGACCGGCCGTGTCTCCCACACCTGCTTCAGTAGGTAGGCTGTAGTAGCTTGAGTATTGCCAGGAAGTGCCCGGGTGCAACCGGACAGGGTGCTGGTCGTCTCCCGATTATGGGTAGTCAAGTTTGTCGAGATAAATCCAAGATTGTAGCCTTGTAAAAGGTTTGTTTCACGGAGCTCTCTGTGCATGCGACCAGTCGGTTCGGCTGCTAGGCCCCGCCCCCTCATTTATTTATTTTAAACATGAAATCCATTTTTGATTTTGCATTTTGTATTATGCATTTCCCTTGTGCATTTTGTTTGTTTTGCTTTGTTTTTGCTAAATATAAACAGCATTCCTTATGCAGTCCTATCATTACATAAAAACAAAGTGAACATCACATTTTAATAAAATCCAGTGGAGTAGCGCCTATATAAACTAACAAAAATTAACTCCTCATTTTTTATTTTTTTTATTAGCAATTTATCAAGTGCACTGTACATAGCGTCAATGTTTTACAGCGTGATGTAAACATAGTTACCAAGCATTGTTGACAATTACAGTATTAACAGGTGTTATACAAGGAAACATGTTTAATGCATATGGAACAATATTCAATACATAAAAGATTTCAGCTTAGTCGGTGCTCCAAGGCACCGTGCACCGATTTTATTAGTGAGAAATGCAAAAAAGAAAAAGGGGGTGAGGGGAACTGGGGAATAAACAACAGGGATAGTAGGGGGGTGGGTGAAGGAATGGGGGGTTAATTGGATTGGCACATCAAACAGTGTACAGCCAGAAGGTCAGCCAACATTGAGCATACAGGGAGTGCAGAATTATTAGGCAAGTTGTATTTTTGAGGATTAATTTTATTATTGAACAACAACCATGTTCTCAATGAACCCAAAAAACTCATTAATATCAAAGCTGAATATTTTTGGAAGTAGTTTTTAGTTTGTTTTTAGTTTTAGCTATGTTAGGGGGATATCTGTGTGTGCAGGTGACTATTACTGTGCATAATTATTAGGCAACTTAACAAAAAACAAATATATACCCATTTCAATTATTTATTATTACCAGTGAAACCAATATAACATCTCAACATTCACAAATATACATTTCTGACATTCAAAAACAAAACAAAAACAAATCAGTGACCAATATAGCCACCTTTCTTTGCAAGGACACTCAAAAGCCTGCCATCCATGGATTCTGTCAGTGTTTTGATCTGTTCACCATCAACATTGCGTGCAGCAGCAACCACAGCCTCCCAGACACTGTTCAGAGAGGTGTACTGTTTTCCCTCCTTGTAAATCTCACATTTGATGATGGACCACAGGTTCTCAATGGGGTTCAGATCAGGTGAACAAGGAGGCCATGTCATTAGATTTTCTTCTTTTATACCCTTTCTTGCCAGCCACGCTGTGGAGTACTTGGACGCGTGTGATGGAGCATTGTCCTGCATGAAAATCATGTTTTTCTTGAAGGATGCAGACTTCTTCCTGTACCACTGCTTGAAGAAGGTGTCTTCCAGGAACTGGCAGTAGGACTGGGAGTTGAGCTTGACTCCATCCTCAACCCGAAAAGGCCCCACAAACTCATCTTTGATGATACCAGTACTCCACCTCCACCTTGCTGGCGTCTGAGTCGGACTGGAGCTCTCTGCCCTTTACCAATCCAGCCACGGGCCCATCCATCTGTCCCATCAAGACTCACTCTCATTTCATCAGTCCATAAAACCTTAGAAAAATCAGTCTTGAGATATTTCTTGGCCCTGTCTTGACGTTTCAGCTTGTGTGTCTTGTTCAGTGGTGGTCGTCTTTCAGCCTTTCTTACCTTGGCCATGTCTCTGAGTATTGCACACCTTGTGCTTTTGGGCACTCCAGTGATGTTGCAGCTCTGAAATATGGCCAAACTGGTGGCAAGTGGCATCATGGCAGCTGCACGCTTGACTTTTCTCAGTTTATGGGCAGTTATTTTGCGCCTTGGTTTTTCCACACGCTTCTTGCGACCATGTTGACTATTTTGAATGAAACGCTTGATTGTTCGATGATCACGCTTCAGAAGCTTTGCAATTTTAAGAGTGCTGCATCCCTCTGCAAGATATCTCACTATTTTTGACTTTTCTGAGCCTGTCAAGTCCTTCTTTTGACCCATTTTGCCAAAGGAAAGGAAGTTGCCTAATAATTATGCACACCTGATATAGGGTGTTGATGTCATTAGACCACACCCCTTCTCATTACAGAGATGCACATCACCTAATATGCTTAATTGGTAGTAGGCTTTCGAGCCTATACAGCTTGGAGTAAGACAACATGCATAAAGAGGATGATGTGGTCAAAATACTCATTTGCCTAATAATTCTGCACTCCCTGTACATGTAACTCCGGCAGAGCGACTAGAGCTTTTCAGCCAATCCCAGTTAGTGGCATGAAGGACAAGGTTTGGGGTGAGTATGCACAGTCTGCTCTAAAGTGCCTGAGTAGTGCCCCCCTCCAGCCTCAGGCCTTTGCGTAAGCCACTATGCTAAATCCACAGATTTGGAGGCGTTCATGAACCAGTCTTTCCCCCACCAGGGGCAGTCGAAGAATCTGTATGCTATGTTCCGCTGTCGGCTGATGGTCTTCGCCCCACGTGGTCGATGCGCAGAGACGATGCCTCGTGGGGCTCATGGCCCAGGTAGCCTGACAGTTGCACACGTCGCCGCTTGGGGATGCGATTTGCCTGTAGAGGTCCACCTCTCCCCGGCAAGACGTCTCTCCGCCCGACCACCTTCAGCTATGGCAGGGAATTCTGCCATCGGTCCCGCAGCTTGTGCCAGAACGTCTGAAAGACTTTATCCAATCTATGCATAATGGAATTTGAAATTTTTGTCCGACTGTATATCAACTGTTTTCGATGATTTCGCTTTTCTCAAGATGCAATAAAACGGAAGTCGGTTATAGATTATCCAATGCAAAAATCTTACAAGCTCAAGGAAAATACCCTGCAAGAACTATTCTAGCCTATTCTTTGAATCAGTGATACATTTATCAACGTTTATTTACTAACCTCAAGTAAAAATCCATATGTCTCAACTTGGTATCTGCACAAGATATGGAGGGACTCCCACCTATCACGTTAATGGATAGAAAAATATATAGCTTACTCCACAACAGTGAGTTTGGGGAGGAAATGTAGGTAGGTGGTTTCTCATTTTTGTTTCTGTTATGTTACTATGCTTATCTGTTCAGATTCAAAATGTGATCACACTTCCTTATTGAATAATCTCGCATTTATTTTGCTTTCATGTGTAATACATTTAAATAGCCACAAGGTGTCACTTAACTCTGAATGTAGATTCAGTCCTTGGAGAATAAGATACAAATTGATCGATTGTTGCAACTTCATTAGGATGTGGGTGTAATTAGAATAATCAGTTCTATAAGGATTCCTAAACCAAAATAGAATGTACCACTAATTTAACACTGAAATGGCGCATATTATATTTATAATTATTATTATCAGCATTTATATAACTACACCTTAATCAGCAGCACTTTACAATATCATAGAGAGGTACATTTAACAATAAATTATTCAATTACTAAATGTTACAGGGACAATAGGTTAATGAGGACCCTGCTCGATATAGCTGCATAGAAATACTTATACAAAATAAGCACATTCCAGGCTTTATGATGTTAGCAAACACAGCAAGAAGTCCTGGGGGCAGAGCCATGCAGGGCACCGTGGCAGATGCCATTTCGTGCAGCTCTGAGTGCTTTACTAGCAAATTCAGCTGTATTGCTGTTGGCAATCGACATATTGGTGTGAAAGATTCTGCGGATGCCCTTTTTTTCCCCAGCAAGTGACAAAATTCAGCACCAAGGACTTCAAACATACCGCACGGGAAGCACACGACTGATCGGTGACGGAGGAATAGGCCTCAATATCGACTTACCAACTGGGAGTCCTCTCAACAGAATTTCTTGCATGGACATGGGCCACAAGACACAAAAGCCTAGTCACACTGCCAGCAGAGAAAGCCAGGACATAGGGAAAATGCTGGCTTACACACCACGAACCAGAGAGATGGCGCCATTGGCTGCACACACCTCGCATGTGGAGGGAGTCCAAGAGGTGGGGTCCCGACATTGGGCAGTGACAAGCAGTGATGACCGGTGTACATACCTCTGAGGAAGATATTCTCAATTTGAAACAGGGCATGGTGGCTCTAGGGAAGACTGTTTAACAAGTACAATCTACACAATTTCACCTTTACCAGCCGCTACACCAGATGGCGCTCAAGGAGAGAGGCGCTGTGGATTAGGTAAGTAACCTCTCCCTCCTGCAGCATTGCCACACTGATCAGGCGCTTCCACATGGCGCCGATCGGGTGCAGCCACACAGTGCAGACCGGGCACCATGACAGTATCCCCACACAAAGACTGCCCACCGGGCGGGCAGGACCAGGCCTTCCAGGGAACCGGGCATGGAAGGAATGGATGAGTCAAGCCACATGAACATCAACAGCAGGAACCCAGAAACGTTACTCAGGACCATAACCCATCCAGTCAACTAGGTACTGTAATAAACCACAAGAATACCTGGAATCCAAGATCGAACAGATTTCATATTCCTCTTGTTTAGCCACAACCAACTGCGGAGGAGGAATAGAAGGAATAGTATATCGATTACAGAGGAGAGGTTTGAGCAAAGACATATGGAAAGTACAAGGAATGCAGAGATTAACAGGGAGATCAAGGGTATAGGAAACAGGATTGACCCTACGCCAGTGGTGTATTTACCGCGAGACTGACAAGGCATTTTCCTTGGGCATCACTTTTAGGGGGGGCGGCAAAAAAAGCCGCCCCAATGCCCTGGCAGATGCCATGTCAGCCTCTTCTCCTGGGAGGCCCAGGAGCTGGCAGCTGGCCACCTTAGGGCCCCTCAGAGGCTGGCATGCGCTGATATGAGAGGCGGGCGGCGAGGTAGCACTCTCCTCTGAGCTCTCTCCTGCTCAGGTCCCTCACCACAGTGCGCCGGTGTTGACATCACTCTGGCTCCGGCATCACTAAAAGGCGCATGAGGGAGCTGAGCACTAGGTTCAGAGCTCCCTCGCCGTCCACCTCCACTGTGCCTGCCAGCCCAACCACCCGCCTATTTGGAAGAAACCACAAAAATAACACCAAAATGTAATCAAATAATAAAAAAAATTGTGAGTGTGTTAGTGTGTGTGTTTGTTAGTGTGTCTGTTAGTGAGTGTTAGTGTGTGTGTGATAGTGAGAGCGTGTGTGTCTCTGTTAGTAAGAGTGTGTCTGTTAGAGAGTGTTGGTGTGTGTCTGTTAGTGTGTGTGTCTCTGTTAGTGAGTGTGTGTGCGTGTCTGTCAAAGAGTATGTGTCAGTGAAAGTGTGTATGCCTGTTAGTGAATGTGTATGTCTGTCAGTGTGTGCATGCGTGTCTGTCACTGAGAGTGTGTATCTGTCAGTCAATGTGTATGTCTGTTAGCGAATGTGTGTGTCTGACACTGAGTGTATATGTTTCTGTCAGTGAGTGTGTATGAGTGTGGGGTGGGGGGGGGTCTGAGTTTTGTCATGCCTAGGGCAACACAAAACCAGAATACACCACTGCCCTACGCACAACACTGAAAGGGTCCCTATGAAGTGGGGCAAACTTCTTAGAAGGCACCTTAACTTTAATATACCGTATGGACAACCAAACCCTGTCACCCATTTGATACAAAGGCGTAGCGACATGTCGCTTATCAGCCTTCACCTTGAAACAGCCGTCACCAAGGCAGCATGCACCAGATCCCAGGACCTACCCATAGAGGCCAGGTGCTCATCCAATACTGAGATAGAGGTATTCTAGAATACAGAAGACAGGATAGTAGGATGAAGACCAGAATTGACATAAAATGGACTGAAACCAGACGAGTTATGTGTAGCATTGTTCCTGGCGAATTCAGCCCAGGGTAAAAGATCAGACCAATTATCTTGAGCACCATTGACAAAACATCTGATGTATACCCCTAAGGACTGATTTGCTTGTTCTGCCGCCCTTTACGTTTGGTGATGGTATGAGGAAGAAAAAGATAATTATTTTCCCAATTCTTTACAAAATGATCTCCAGAACCTAAATACAAACTACGTACCTCTGTCAGATACTATATTGTGTGGAATACCATGTAACCTGAACATCTCATTGGTAAAAAATCTTGGGAGGTTGGCAACTTTTTAAGTGGAATGAAGTGAGCTATTTTGGAGAACTGGTCAACGAACATTAGAATAATGTTAAATCCCTTGGACACAGGTAGATCAACTATAAAATCCATAGCAAGTTGGGACTAAGGGATGTGCGGCACAGGAAGAGGTTGTAACAACCCACATTTGAGTTGAAGAACCTTAGAAACAGCAACTGTTTTTTGAAGGCATTGACATATGCTTCTACATCGTTCCTAAGAGAGGGCCACCAGAACTGTTTAATGATAGCAAAAAGGGTTTTGGGTATACCCAGATGCCCAGCCTTCATATTGTCATGGAACATGCTTAACCCCTTAAGGACCGAGGACGGTTCAGGACCGTCATCAGCATTTTTGCATTGCCAACCGGTGACGGTCCTGAACTGTACTTACCCGATCGCCGTCGTTCCCCCGGCGGCAATCGGCGTGGCTCCCATTGTGGGGAGACTGCCTGCAGCCCAGACAGTTTCCCCATGGCGGAATAGGACCTCTGGGGCCAATAGGTGTCCATGTGTCTGCCTGCAGGGGGACTGCCTGTGCTGACAGGCAGTCTCCCTGCTAGTGTAAAATCATTAAAAAAATAAAAGTTAATGTTAATTAAAAAATATATATATATGTGTATATAAATATGATATATAGACATTTATTATATCTAATGTCATACTAAGTGTCTTTTTATATTAATATGTACATATATTAATATAAAAATAAACTTATAATTAAATTACACACGTATATATATAATAACTATATATATATTGTGTATATATATATATATATATTATTATTATAAAATACAAATAATAAGTAATTTAAATTAAATTAAAAAATGTAAAAATAATAATAACATTCAAAAAAAATTATATATCTATATGAAATTTTATTCTAACTGTATTTTGATATTAATATATATATATTTATATCATAATACACTTAGAATGAAATTGTATATATATATCTATGTATATATAAATAAAAATAATATGAAATATACAAATGTCCATATACAAAATTACATAAATAATTATATAAATATACACGTAGACCTCAAATATATAAATATGCTTATATATTTAAATTCTACGTGCATATTTATGTAATATTTTTACATAATTAAGTAATTTTATTGATTGCAATTTGTGGCACCGGCCTGCCAACCCAGGCCGAAAGTCCAGAGAATATATATTGCTAGCACTGTATTTTACCCTGTAACGTTCTACGACACCCTAAAACCTGTAGATGGGGGGTACTGTTTTACTCGGGAGACTTCGCTGAACACAAATATTAGTGATTCAAAAAAGTAAAACATATCACAGCGATGATATTATCAGTGAAAGTGACTTTTTTTGCATTTTTCACACACAAACAGCACTTTACTGATGATATAATTGTTGTGATACGTTTTCCAGTTTTAATGAAAATCCAGCGCACTCGCTTATCTACTAAACAGTCATTTTAATGCTGAATAATTTTCAGTTTTATTAAAAACACCTAATCTAGACAAAAAATATAATGGGGGTTTAGTTACAGTATATGATCAGGAAAGGTTAAAGGATCTTAACATGTATAGTTTGGAGGAAAGACGAGACAGGGGGGATATGATAGAAACATTTAAATACATAAAAGGAATCAACACAGTAAAGGAGGAGACTATATTTAAAAGAAGGAGAACTACCACAACAAGAGGACATAGTCTTAAATTAGAGGGACAAAGGTTTAAAAATAATATCAGGAAGTATTACTTTACTGAGAGGGTAGTGGATGCATGGAATAGCCTTCCAGCTGAAGTGGTAGAGGCTAACACAGTAAAGGAGTTTAAGCATGCGTGGGATAGGCATAAGGCTATCCTAACTATAAGATAAGACTAGGGACTAATGAAAGTATTTAGAAAATTGGGCAGACTAGATGGGCCGAATGGTTTTATCTGCCGTCACATTCTATGTTTCTATGTTTCTATGATCATACATTGCATAAGCCTGCCACAACGCCAATGTACCCCATCTTTGGCAGGTCCTACTCTGTCTGCTAAATGAGCTTCTCACTTGGGGAAATCCTTCCATCTCAAGGTCTCTGCAGTACAATGCTTAAATAGGATCCTGAGATGAGGCACCTGTAACAGGGAGGGGTTCAAAACCCATGCAGCTGGCTAGACTCCTAAATATATACATACAGGCCCGGACTGGCCATCGGGCACACCGGGCAAATGCCCGGTGGGCCGCGGTGGCCGTGGGGCCGAGAGATCACATGATCTCTCCTGCCGGTCTTTGCAGGGCCGGCGCTATCTGAACGCCGGCCCTGCAGTAGTCTCCAGCGGGCCGGTGGGGAGATCAGAGATCTCCCTCACCGGCCCACATGCAGGATAGTGTGGCCGCCGGGGGAGAGAGGGAGGGAGCCAGCCTGCCAGCAGAGGAACCCGGCGGAGCTTTAACTAACAGCTCCGCCGGGTTCCTCTCACGAGATTCGGAGCGTTGCCATGGCAACGCTCCGGGTCTCGCGAGAGTGAACTCTAGCCTCACAGGCTAGAGTTCACTCACCACTAAGACCACCAGGGATGGATTGCAGCCCCAGCAGCAGGATCCCCCTCCAAGGCTAAAGGTAAGCAGGGAGGGGGAAAATAATCACCTAACTAACATCAGCCTCACAGACACCCAAAACACTCACAGCACACTCATTCACACACACTCACACACACACACACACACACACACACACACTGCACCCCTGACACTCACACACACACACACACACACACTGCACCCCTGACACTCACACACACACACTGCACCCCTGACACTCACACACACACACTGCACCCCTGACACTCCCACCCTCACACACTGCACCCCTGACACTCACAGCACCCTCACACACTGCACCCCTGACACTCACAGCACCCTCACACACTGCACCCCTGGCACGCACAGCACCCTCACACACACACTGCACATCTGACCCTCACAGCACACACACACACACCTGCACCCCTGGCCTCACAGCACACACACACCTGCACCCCAGCCTCACAGCACACACACACACACCACCGTGACACTCACAGCACACACACGCACACTGCCCCTGACACTCACAGCACACACACACACACACACTGCACCCCTGACACTCCCACAGCACACACACACACCACGGCACCCCTGACACTCAGCACACTCACACACACACACACTGCACCCCTGACACTCACACACACACACTGCACCCCTGACACTCCCACCCTCACACACTGCACCCCTGACACTCCCACCCTCACACACTGCACCCCTGACACTCACAGCACCCTCACACACTGCACCCCTGACACGCACAGCACCCTCACACACACACTGCACTGACACTCCCCAGCACACACACACACACACACTGCACTGACACTCACAGCACACACCACACACACTGCACCCCTGACACTCCACAGCACCCCTGCTCCACACACACTGCACCCCTAAGGACTCCTAGCACACTGCTGCTGACACTCACAGCACCCACACACACACTGCACCCCTGACATGCACAGCACCCTCACTCACACACACTGCACCCCTGACACAGCACACACACACACACACACTCACATCACCCTCACTCACACACACACACTGCACACCTAACACTTACAGAACCCTCACACACTGCACCCCTGAGACTCACAGCACACACACACTGCACCGCTGACACTCACAGCACACACACACACACACACTGCACCCCTGACATGAACAGCACCCTCACTCACACACACTGCACCCCTGACACAGCACACACACTCACATCACCCACACACACACACTGCACACCTAACACTTATAGCACCCTCACACACACACACACACACACTGCACCCCTAACACTTACAGCACCCACACACTGCACCCCTGACATGCACAGCACACACCCTATCTGGCCCCGCCCCCTTTGTAGTGGGCCGCTGTAATTAAAAAATGCCCGGGCCGAATTATCTTCCCAGTCCGGCCCTGCTGCAGCGATATATATCTTCACTCATATATTTCAGAGTATAGTTTTGGATAATCTGCAACTCTTATTACTTCATAACATGTCATAACATCCAGTTAGTTGAAACATTGTTGCATATAGATATCTTCAGTACTGATTCCACTATTGTGATTTTATATGGATTTTATCTTCATGATATCTCTATTTTGAACTTCAAGACTTTTGATCTATATCTAGATGTGACATTTTAGTAGCTGTCCATCCTTATTTCCATATCTCATTGCTTTATTTGTTTTTATTTGCCTTTGTTGTACTTTTCCCCATTTAGTTGATGTTACCCAATTCCCAGTAGGGGCAACACTTTTCCTGGACATCCCTCATTGAGTGTTTGATTATTGCTTTTATATTGGTGTTTTATATGGTATTTCATTTATGTATTTTCTCACTTGAACCTTTTAAAATTTATTTTAGATCCAGCAAGTATTCATATGCATTTTCTGCAAGCTATCTCCTGGTACGTTTAGGATCTTTATTTCTTATTTTATTCATAACAAAAACATGGTGGGATGAGACACATGACTGGGCAGCTAACTTATTTGGTTACACTATTTAAGAATTATAGAAAAAACTAGAAAGGTGGCGGGGTATGTTTGTATGTCAACAATGAGTTAAACCCAAATACTAGGAAGGGGAATGTGAGGAGGAATATGTGGAAGCGTTATGGTTAGATATCTGTTTGGGGCAAAAGAAGGGAAAATTATTATTGGTTAGGAAATGTTATAAACCACCTAGTGTTAATATTGATGAGGGAGACCAGCTATTAGAGCAAATTGGGAAAGTGGCAAATCTGGGTAACACGTTAATTACGGGATATTGTATTTGCCATGACATAAATTGGGATAGATGGACTAGTAGTTGAGCAAGGGGAATCAGGTTTTTGAATGTGTTAAATGATACCTGCATGTCCCAACTAGCACAAGCACCTGGTTATAAAAAACAATGCTGATCTTTTTTTATTTTTTTTATTTTATTGTTTTTGCAGTGCTTAGAATTACAAACATGCATGTGCTGCCACAACAGCAGGTACAAGCTAATAAGTAGATCAGGGTAAACATTGTTATGGCATGCAAGAAACAGCACAATTTTATGGTTAATAAGGTATGTCTGAGGATTTTCTATGCTTAAGTAGGATATATAATCAGAGGAGGGACAAAGAGGAAAACATGTAAGATGCAAGCTAGGTTGTCTGATTGTGTAGCTTTGACAGGTGTAAGTCAAACAAGTGTGTCATATATACAAGATGTAAAAATGAAATTACTTTGCTAGGCTAGCTGACCACACTGAGTAGGACAAATATAGTGTAACCACCAGTATTGAGTATCATCAAGAGATCAATATATGCTTTGTATAGGAAAGCAAAAAGAATGCAAAACAGCATAGTACAAGTTAAAAGCAGTTAGGTGGAGTGAAATGCTGATCTTTTGACCTACATTCAAGTAGGGGAGCACTTGGGGAATGGGTATCCCAATTTGGTGTCTTTTGAAATAAACTCAAAAAAGCATGTGGGGTATACTAAAACATATTTCAAAAAAAGGCTAATTTCAATAAGATAAGTGCACCTTTTACAACATGTTGACTGACATCAACTCTTTAGGGAAAAAAAACAAAACACTGAGGATAAATAGAATATCTTCAAACATGTATTAGGAAGGTACGTTACTCAGTATGTACCATTGGGTAATAAATATAAAAGAAACAAACTGAAACCAAGATGGTTTAGTGGGAAATGTTATGATATGAGATGTTGTACCCTATTTCAAACCAGCTGCATCTCCGACTCCAGTCATCAATAAAAAAAAAAATGAGGGTCATTAACCCATTGTACAGTGCTACGGAATATGATGGCGCTATATAAATAATAAAATAATAATTAATATACCACAGCTCTCTATTTATCGGTAGAAATCTTACAATGCCAATCAGTGTCTTTTCAGACCTGGCTGGTAAAGAAATGGTTAAGCAGATCAGTGACATTCTTCCCCTATTAATGACAGATTATTGCTCAAACTGAACCGAGATGGAAATGGATATGATAGGGAAGGAAATGACTCAAGCCACATAAAACAAATTGTTTAAGTGTGTAACACAGTAACACAGTCAGTGCAACAAGTCGTGTCCACTAAGAGCTGAATGAAATAGTGTAACAAACTGAGCCATTGACTCATCCAGCAATGCTTGGTATGTTGTTTAGCTCAGCCCAATGCTGTCATAACTTTATTTATTTACACTGAGAGTAGAATACTTCATATTTCTAAACCAGAGGGAGTGGAGTTTAATCCAATACAAAGTTATAGAAAATAGAGGCGGAGAGGGAAAAAAGACGAGGAGGGGAGTTAGTGAGCAAATTTTGGTTAGTGGGCGTCTCGTTCTTCCACCCAGCAGCAAACTTTACCACAAGCCGGAGCTTGGATACTGCATGGTGACACTGCATGCATTGTGAGTGTGCACACTGAGCTGGATTCCCTACAACTAGCAACAAAGCCAGGAGCCACATTGCTTCTCACAGCCACCCAGAGTGCTGACCCCGGACAGCCCTCCTGATTCAGAGCTCAGGGCAGACAGAGAGAAGAGCACATCTTCCCAGCAGCTGGACCTGTGCGAGCCTGTGTGCTGCTCCTGGTAGGTTTGGACTGTGACATTCTTTGAGCTATTCTGTGTTGGGGTGAGGGTAGGGGGGAGGAGGAGAGCTGGAGAGAGCATCCTCCTAACCACGATTTATACATGTTAACAGCTACAGGACAGGAGCAATGTGTGTATATTAACTACCGATACAGGAGCAATGTGTGTATATTAACTACTGATACAGGAGCAATGTGTGTATATTAACTACCGATACAGGAGCAATGTATGTATATATATTATATTAACAGACACAGGAGCAATGTATACATATTAACTACTGATACAGGAGCAATGTATGTACATATATTATATTAACAGACACAGGAGCAATGTATACATATTAACTACAGATACAGGAGCAATGTATGTACATATATTATATTAACAGACACAGGAGCAATGTATACATATTAACTACAGATACAGGAGCAATGTATGTACATATATTATATTAACAGACACAGGAGCAATGTATACATATTAACTACAGATACAGGAGCAATGTATGTACATATATTATATTAACAGACACAGGAGCAATGTATACATATTAACTACAGATACAGGAGCAATGTATGTACATATATTATATTAACAGACACAGGAGCAATGTATACATATTAACTACAGATACAGGAGCAATGTATGTACATATATTATATTAACAGACACAGGAGCAATGTATACATATTAACTACAGATACAGGAGCAATGTATGTACATATATTATATTAACAGACACAGGAGCAATGTATACATATTAACTACAGATACAGGAGCAATGTATATATATTATATTAACTACTGATACAGGAGGAATGTATATATATTATATTAACTACTGATACAGGAGCAATGTATATATATTATATTAACTACTGATACAGGAGGAATGTATATATATTATATTAACTACTGATACAGGAGGAATGTATACATATTAACTACCGATACAGGAGCAATGTATATATATTATATTAACAGGTACAGGAGGAATGTATACATATTAACTACTGATACAGGAGGAATGTATACATATTAACTACCGATACAGGAGCAATGTATATATATTATATTAACAGGTACAGGAGGAATGTATACATATTAACTACCGATACAGGAGGAATGTATACATATTAACTATTGATACAGGAGCAATGTATATATATTATATTAACAGGTACAGGAGGAATGTATACATATTAACTACCGATACAGGAGGAATGTATGTATATTATATTAACAGGTACAGGAGGAATGTATACATATTAACTACCGATACAGGAGGAATGTATACATATTAACTATTGATACAGGAGGAATGTATACATATTAACTACCGATACAGGAGCAATGTATATATATTATATTAACAGGTACAGGAGGAATGTATACATATTAACTACCGATACAGGAGGAATGTATACATATTAACTATTGATACAGGAGCAATGTATATATATTATATTAACAGGTACAGGAGGAATGTATACATATTAACTACTGATACAGGACTAATGTATACATATTAACTATTGATACAGGGGGATGCATGTATATTACCTATTGATACATGAGGAATGCATGTATATTAACTATTGATAAAGGAGAAATGCATGTATATTAAATATTGATACAGGAGGAATGCATGTATATTAACTATTGATAAAGGAGAAATGCATGTATATTAACTATTGATACAGGAGGAATGTATGTATATTAACTATTGATACAGGAGGAATGTATGTATGCATTTGTACAACTGCCACAGAAGAAACATATTTAAACTAACAAGTACAACTGACATGTATACATGTTAATAGGTACAGGTGAGAGTAATACACATGTTAATAGATGTAGATTTCTTATGAATGTATAGCTCAAAGGAAGCAGTCATGTGCGTGTAAATGTGAAGCAACAGTAAGAATTTAGAATAATTGAATAGTCATATTTTAGTATTTAATATACAAGACGAAATTAGGGTTCCACCATTAAATATATTATTTTTATTACAAGGGTTTATTTTAAATAAATTAATCCCTTTAGGGCCAAACTATTTTATTTTTAATATTACAAAATAGTATTTTATTGAGAAACAAAGGGATAACAGAGTTTTACTATTTTATGGGCCACAAAGAGTGGTGCAGATATCAAATTGTGGTTACAAGTTGATACATAGAACATATTCCGTTTAAATTATAAAAATAAAAGATTATGAAAATGACTAGAAAATAAGAAATTTAGAAAAGCAGATTTAGCATGTAAAGTAGTATAGACACACAATTAGATAGATAGATAGATAGATAATCAAAACAAGTATAGAAACTGAATTAAAGACCCATTTTAAGCATTGCACTGAACCTTTTACACTGTGGAGTCAATTTGTTAAAGGCGCACTTTGAGATAGCTTGTAGACTTGAAAAATTGTTCATTCCAAAACTGCAATTTATCCAAATTTGGGCTGATTGGATTACCCAAACTCCAAGCCGAAATATGAACAAAACTCAACATGCAATGGATGTGCATGTATGTTTTGATTCCTGATTCAGAATTCCACCTGTGGCACCAGAAAAAAGAGAAACCCTGATGGGAAAAAGGATGATTGATGACTAGGAGATAGCCACTAAATGGGAGGATGAGGGAAAAAAATTGATATACAGATGTATTTATATATTTAATAAAGAATAAATAACGATAGATTTATTACTCTTTTCCCTCTATTGGTTACTTATTCTCACTTGACCTGTAAACCAATTTGTGTATATTTTACAGCTCCCTGATTGGCCCATTTAAGCTCCCCTTTGAATCGTCTGATTTGTCTTCCAAATCTTTCTTTGTTAACAAAATTTGGACAAGCTGAACTGCCACATGGCCGAAATTCGGAATGCCCACATTTTGTGTTTTTATAAAAAAAATTTTTAACTAAGTGGTTTGGCCCAAACAAGTTTTTTCACCCCGCAGAAGTCTAGCAGCTTGATGCATAGCAGCATAAACCAGCAAAATTATTGAAAACCACAGGCCTAGGCAAGAGTTATAAGGTCCCTAACTTCATAATCATATTTACATTTTTGTCCAGGATTTGTGACAGTGTTCAATCACTACATGCAAAATAAGAATGATAACTTGTAACATCTCCTATAAAAGAAATGTTGAATTATCTATGTTCTGTTTGAAACACTTTTTCATACCGTGGCAGCTGCTCAATGTCGTTTGAAATATATATGCTTGTAAACACCAAAATAGTTACAATTACAGGAAAAAAGAAAATGAACTTTCAGTAGCATGAAGGTCCCACTTAGTCATTTCCTTATCTAAAGGATGGCCGGATTCCAGCTAGTGCTTGAAGGATAGGGAATAATCACTTACAATGGGGTTTTGCTCTAACAGGCAGAAGACGTCTGACATCTTTTAAATAGGAATTGTAGCTGCAGGGTGTTTTCCCTGTTCAGACTGATACAGTAATTTTCTTTAGGATAACCTGTTGGGTAAAAGGCACACATAATTAGGGAACCGTGTTTACATAGTATGTGACAGAACCTGTAACACTGTCATTATCAGAGATCAGCAATAATTGCTAAGTTGCATCTGGCTTATTAATAGTGGCCCATTGATTTTACGTAATACGCTACCAGAATCTTACAGTAGCATGGGTTTAAAGGGTCTTCATGCAGATAAGTAGAAAGTGAAAATATGGTTCGGTGTTAAAAAAGCAGGCGGGGAGAGCTATACAGCACACTCATTTGACTACATTTTATGGAAATTCTCCTATCCCATTGTTTCCAACATCCACCAAATTGTATTCTCTACTTTAAAACGAATTATGAATTTAAAACCTCCCTATTTGCTGATTAAGTAAAATACATCTGTTGACTAGAGAAAATAATTATCCTTTTTCCAATATAACTATTCTTCCGATTTAGTTGCCTGCGAACCCCAAATCTCTTATTAGGGCATGATATAGGTAGTAAATATGCTTTAAAGCATGGCTAAATGACTTCCAACTGTGGTCAGTGCAGATACTTTTTGCTTAAGTTGCTGTAATACGTCCAGTGTATTTTTGGAACGTGCTGTTCTGTATGAATTTGGTGTGTTTTTAACTTTTCTTTGCATGTTTTTCTTGCTCGGTCTCTCTAAAAATAACTGGTAATGATTTAATATTTTTTGGGTTAAAAAAAAAGTTTAAACTTCTCCAAAGTCACAAAAGCTGAAACTGCAATCTTTTTTTTTTTGATCTCCCAGTGTATCGTGTAAACAGAGTAAAGATGACTACTTCTCTAACTCTATACTACCTGCTACAATTCTGTGGTCATTCCTGGATCTTCACTAATATGACTGCAAGACTTCTCTTCTTTGGAAAAGGTAATTTTACTATATATATATATATATATATATATATATATATATATATATATATATATTCACGTGTAACTTACTAAAGGGGAAGTATCCCCAAATATAAGACCTCTCTCTCTCTAATGGGAGTAGAAAGCGTTGCTTGTAGACTTTATTGTAATATTTGCGGTACTTTTATTCAATGTGCTAAGTAAGATGGCATGTGACCTTACAATCTTAAAATATTATGTGTGTCAAATGAAACATAACAAGGAAAAAGTATAGAGGAGAACTGTCAGGGTGAGTATACCCAAATACTCAGAACCTGCAATAATTAAAAATGACAAAGCATAGACATATTATTGGACCTTAAGTGGCAGTGCTTAACATGTAAAAGAGAGAAATCATGTTCAATTAAAAAGCCAAGGTCATGAATTTCAATTATCATATTAACTAGGCAGGTCAGGGTCACAGAGGTACTCAAAGTCCAGAAACAAGTCAAGGTCAAACCAAAAACAGGAACAGAAACCACAATAGGGCAAAAGGAATGGTGTCAAAATAGCTAAAACAGGTGTGAACTGACAGGTCCATATCACCCCTGCAAACCCACAAAGTGTGGGAAAGAGGCCGCCAGAATAATGTGGTCAATTGCAAACCGGAAGTGACTAAGCATGCCTCAGATTTACATATGGACGCGCTCTGCAAGCAAGCAGCTTCCATTAGACTGACTGCAAGTGGGTCACATGCAAAATCGACCCATTCGGCTTGTGGAATACCGTGTCAACCAGGCAGTTCCCATGACAAGAATTAAGACAGGGCATCATAGAAAAAGCAAAAAACGGGGTGCAAGAGAATACTGAGAAAGGGCAGTAGCTGAAATAGCCTGCCCTTGGGTGGGTCCCCGCTCAGATCTCAAGCTGGCTTTAGCTCATCTTGTGCCATTACAGAGAGAAAAAACTATTTCCGATATATAGTGTATATGATATGTACTTAAAATATGCCTAATTCATGTTTTCAGCAGTTTAGCTCATGAGGATCTTATGAAGAAAAAAAAAACTGGGAAAAAAAAACTAGCATTGTGATTTCCCAAACAAGTATTTACCCATCTGTAATGAACACTGGTATTTCAGATACCCGTTTGTTTGTTTCCTCCCTAACTGCTAGGAGCTGAGTAATTATAGCACGCAGTTCGGGTGTTGATTTGAACGTTCTCCAGAAGAAATACAGAATACAAGTAAATTCACCAAGCAAATCAGACAGATATCCAAACATCAGCCTAGACTAGATGAAAGGTACAACAGGAATGAATTTTTTTCAGACCAACTGGACGGTTTTTATGCATGTCCCCATGCAAGGGGTTTACCGTGACATATTCCAGAGGCATTCCCCACTGGACCTGAGAGGGGACTATGGCAAAGTACACACTGGAAGTACATTGGCTCTCAGGTCCAGGACACTCCCACATAAAATAGGATAATCCTTCCCCTGTGTTTGGAAGATAATTGAGTCAAGGATTGTACTAAACTCAATTATCTCCAGGCACAAAAAAACATACATTTCCACAAAACTTTGAAAGTATCTCAAGCCCCATGGAAACCCCACACAAGTTATATCCTCTGATAACCCCGATCTGGGGGACCAACATATTCAAAAATCACTGAGATCAGTTCAGGGGTTCGGGATTTCCATGAAGGTCATAATTTGACCGACCGCACACAAGATCTTATGTTTAAAACAGTTCCACAGCTTCAGAGGTAGCGGTCGGTACATTACAGGAAGTCTAAAAACCGAACAAATTCTGGAGTCGTGTGTCCAATTTTAGGTCCAGACACCAAGTCCTTGTACCTCATTTCGTGAGACAAGATGGCCGCCGTTTTTTTCCAGCACTTGGCATTCGGCCATACAAACGGCGGACACACAGGGAGAGCACTTAATCTGCATTTTTTTCTTTGTGGTTATTGAGCCAGGGGGTGGTCGGTGTTCGGTAGTTTTATCTACCGAACGTGAAAAAGCCAAGTTAACGAGCTAAATGTGTGGTTTCTTTACACCACCAGTAATTAGAAAATATCAGTTTGATGTACAAAATACATATTATATAAGAATTCTTGATACGTGCAATACTTTCTTACATTATAGACATATAATCACGTGAGGGCTTGGCAGGATTTGCCACACATACACACTAGCCAAGATCACCAAGACTGATGATGTCAGCTGAGTAGGTGGGGCACCAGCACAGAGACCAGCACGGCAAATGAGTAGAGATAAATGTGGGCTAACAATATAGCCTTGGGAATACCTGTCTGCATTCTTAACGCTATAGTGTTCCTTTAAGTGATCAGGAGATAAAGCTTCCTGCACCCAGTTAAGGATAAGAAATTCCATACTCTAGAGGATCTAAGGGCATATTGATAAGGGCAAAGAAAGATAATGATGTCACATCTCCACCTGATTTGCACATTCTCTGTGCATAGAGGCACTTAGATTGTAAATATAGGCTGTATCTGCTGTTAATGTACCTTACTTTCAATCCATCATGTTTCAAACATTAAATTCACCTGGTTAGCCGAGTTACTGCTTACTCAGCCTAGGCAGTGCCTTACCATATTGTCTTATTGAAAGCCAGGGTGTGTGACAAGTTTAATTTAGAAAAGTGTCAATTTCTGGAAATCTGCACTTTTTGTAAAATGAAAAAAAAGAGGACTCACTCTTCACACATAAGGCACTTTAGCAAGTACTGTGGCTGTGTTCTGTGTGCTAATTGATGCATATTACTTGGTCCATGCAGATTCCTTTGCGGATACATTCTACACAATCGGGCTAGTAATGCAGGCCTGCCAGTTACTGTCTGCACTGGAGCTGATACTCCCACTGCTGGGCAACCAACAACACCGATTCTTGCCAAGTTTTTTACAGGTACAATAGTTACATTTCTATTGGTTTTAGTTATTGATGTGTTAAAGACAGTCTGCATAGTGTTGCGGTTATTCACTACTTCCATAAATAAATCCATATCGCAAAACTAATTCAGCTCTGACTAAAACGGAGTTGGAGAATTTTCCAGATAATTTATTTATGTCAGAATTGTTCCATTCAGATATAAATTGACTACCATTTGGAATTTAGTGAATAAATCCAGGTAAATACAATTATATAAAACTGGGTAATATCAGTTAGAAGCAATGGAAATTGCAGTGTTGAGCAAGCTGGGGCAGTGCCTTCTACTAATGAGGATTGTATGTTTTTGTACTATAGTACTATACTATACTATCTTTGCTATAGTAACCTATATTTATAGCTGCTAATTGTATACAGTATGCCCACAGTGGGAGAAGAAAATCTAAAGTCAAAGGTTGCCAAGACATTTTTTTAAAGAGCCATTACAGCATGCTCTGGCACCACCTATTGTAAGTTGTCAAACCATTTTAGAATGATTTCACTTCACACTTGGGGTCCACCAGAAGCCACTTCCAGTCTCACTACTTCAGACAGAGTTGGAAGCTCAATGTCTGGGCTAAGCCCATCGATGCTCAGCTAATGTGCTAGCACTGCACTATGGGGATTAGCTCAACAGAGCTAATGGAAACTCCTGCTTAGGAGCCCTCTGCTCCCTGTTAGAAGTAATAATATTTATATTATATTCTAACTAATAATAATAAAAAAACAAGAAGATATTTTAGATTAGGAAGTGAATTTGCTCCAAATAACTGGCATAGAAACATAGAAACATAGAAACATAGAAACATAGAATGTGACGGCAGATAAGAACCATTCGGCCCATCTAGTCTGCCCAATTTTCTAAAAACTTTCATTAGTCCCTAGCCTTATCTTATAGTTAGGATAGCCTTATGCCTATCCCATGCATGCTTAAACTCCTTTACTGTGTTAACCTCTACCACTTCAGCTGGAAGGCTATTCCATGCATCCACTACCCTCTCAGTAAAGTAATACTTCCTGATATTATTTTTAAACCTTTGTCCCTCTAATTTAAGACTATGTCCTCTTGTTGTGGTAGTTTTTCTTCTTTAAATATAGTCTCCTCCTTTACTGTGTTGATTCCCTTTATGTATTTAAATGTTTCTATCATATCCCCCCTGTCTCGTCTTTCCTCCAAGCTATACATGTTAAGATCCTTTAAACTTTCCTGGTAAGTTTTATCCTGCAATCCATGAACCAGTTTAGTAGCCCTTCTCTGAACCCTCTCTAAGGTATCAATATCCTTCAGAAGATACAGTCTCCAATACTGTGTACAATACTCCAAGTGAGGTCTCACCAGTGTTCTGTACAATGGCATGAGCACTTCCCTCTTTCTACTGCTAATACCTCTCCCTATACAACCAAGCATTCTGCTAGCATTTCCTGTTGCTCTATTACATTGTCTGCCTACCTTTAAGTCATCAGAAATAATCACCCCTAAATCCTTTTCCTCATATGTTGAGGTTAGGACTCTATCAAATATTCTGTACTCTGCCCTTGGGATTTTACGTCCAAGATGCATTATCTTGCACTTATCCACATTAAATGTCAGTTGCCACAATTCTGACCATTTTTCTCGTTTACCTAAATCATTTGCCATTTGGCTTATCCCTCCTGGAACATCAACCCTGTTACATATCTTAGTATCATCAGCAAAAAAGACATGCCTTACCATCAAGACCTTCTGCAATATCACTAATAAAAATATTAAAGAGAATGGGTCCAAGTACAGATCCCTGAGGTACCCCACTGGTGACAAGTCCAAGCTTCGAATATATTCCATTAACTACAACCCTCTGTTGCCTGTTACTCAGCCACTGCCTTACCCATTCAACAATATTTGAATCTAAACTTAAAGATTGCAGTTTATTGATAAGCCTTCTATGTGCAACAGTGTCAAAAGCCTTACTGAAATCTAGGTAAGCAATGTCTACTGCACCACCCTGATCTATAATTTAGTTACCCAATCAAAAAAATCAATAAGATTAGTTTGGCATGATCTCCCTGAAGTAAACCCATGTTGTCTCTGATCTTGAAATCCATGTGTTTTTAGATGTTCATCAATCCTATCCTTTAACATGGTTTCCATCACTTTCCCCACTACTGAAGTAAGGCTTACTGGCCTATAGTTGCCCGACTCCTCCCTATTACCTTTCTTGTAAATGGGCACAACATTCGCTAACTTCCAATCTTCTGGGACTACACCTGTTAACAATGATTGGTTAAATAAATCTGTTAATGGTTTTGCTAGTACACCACTAAGCTCTTTTAATAGCTTTGGGTGTATTCCATCAGGTCCCATTGACTTATTTGTCTTTACTTTTGACAGTTGAAATAGAACCTCTTCCTCTGTAAACTCACGTGTAATAAATGACTCATTTATCCTTTTTCTCAACTGAGGTCCCTTTCCTTCATTTTCTTCTGTAAATACAGAACAAAAATATTCATTGAGGCAGTCAGCCTGACCTTTATCCTCTTCTACATACCTTCCTTCTTTTGTTTTTAATCTAACTAATCCTTGTTTTACTTTTCTTTTCTCATTTATGTATCTAAAAAATGTTTTATCCCCCTTTTTTACTGTCTGTGCTATTTTCTCTTCTGTGTGTGATTTGGAAGCTCTTATAACTTGCTTAGCCTCTTTCTGCCTAATCTTATAGATCATTTTGTCTCCCTCACTCTGGGTTTTTTTATAATTCCTAAATGCTAACTTTTTGTTTTTAACTATTTTGGCCACATCTGCGGAGTACCACAGTGGTTTCTTGAATTTTTTGCTTTTACTGACAAGCCTAATGCAACATTAGAATTAATACTTTTAAGTACTTCCTTTGTATACTATATATTCCTACAGTTAAGTAAAATGCACAACATTCATGTAGGAGAATGAGACAACGTGGTTATGAAAATCTAATAAAGAAATGGGTGCCATAATCTGTAATTTAATTAGGGATACTTAAAAAAACAAACAAAAAAAAACATACCTAAACATTGGTTAAATATAGCAGGGAAGAGTGAGGAGGGTGGAAATTTTGATCAAGACCCAGTGTAATCAATTACATCATATCCGCTTAGACTCCTTTATTGACAATAAGTCAACAGCAAACAGGAAGATGAAAAATTAAAATAGTGCAAAGAAGGTGCGGTGACCACATAAAATGATAAGACCACAGTTAGATGAGGAAGAGAGGAAATAGGTGCAGGTGTCGGAAGAAGAGAGAAATTAGAGATAGTGAGATGTTACCGGGCAAATGGATATTATATACGAGAAAAGCTCTGTCTAGTTCATATAATTAATGGAGTGTTTAACATTAAAATGGATGAGTTTCTGAAAAGAGGAGATGAACACTGTCAGTGTGGTAATTCTCAAGCCAAGCGGACCAAATTATGTATGAATTTTAAAACAGTTTTATTTCTGAATGCTTAAATGGCATTGTCATATCGGTGCTAAATCTAACATTTGAACAAACAAAAACTATTACAGTGGTTAAGCATGTGAAATTTATATCTTTCTTATGTATCTCTATTTCAGATAGTCAAACAACCCTATCCCTTTAGCACAGTGATTCAGAGGGTCTAGTTTTATTATATTGAGTTGTCTCTCTATAGTCCAAGTGTGCATCTGCAGAATTATATGTGTGTCTCCATCTATATGGGCAAGGAAGGGAGCAGGTCGAATGTATATGTTCTAACACAGTATGCATAATGGATTGGATACATTAATCTTAGAACAACCCTTGTGTGAACTATTTAACCATTCTAAAAGTGGTGAGCTATGTGAGTGACAGATTCCTTTCCATTTTAGGTAACCGAAAGGCTTGTCATCCTATTTGTGGTCATCACCAGCCAGGAGGAGGTGCAGAGTAAATGTGTAGTCTGTGCTTTGTTCTTCCTATGGAACATGTGGGATGTTGTAAGGTAATATATTTTAAACTAATAACATTAAGGATTTAATGTTTGCTCACTATTGTTCCCCATATCCAATGTTTATCCAACAAACCAATTAACTGAAATACAAACATTTCTGTATTACAAAAGAACTTGCTAATGCAAATTGCAGCGTAAGCACAGTCTGTGCCTTTAATGTTTGATGTTTAATGAGGGCTTGTAATGTACCCTTAAAACATATTCCAGGGTGTGACGAATGAGCAATTGTGTACTACCATTTTAGGTGTGTTGCAGTTTTTGGTTCTGTAATTATATGGAAGTAAAATATGTGATGTATTGGTTATAAGTAGATAACAACTGGTTCTTTAGATCAAACAAATATGATGCCTGTGATTTGAGACACTGAGTCCGATGGGAAGTATGTGAGAACAAAAACTATATCATCATCAATTATGGTGGCTATCAGTCACAGTTTCTGGTATGATATTGTTTGCCAGGCTGAGCCTGTTTCAGGGCCTGCACAGGGAGTACATGGAGAGCAGCCCTACCACACAGCAACAACCAATGTGTGAGTGAGGTTGAGAAGTTTTGTCCCTGCCCTATCAGCACATACTGTGCCTTATTCCACGCGGAGCACAGTAATGCTGTCACTGAATGGACACTAAAGGGGAGATTGTTACTGACATATGGGGGTAGTGGAGAGGCACATAGGGCACATTATGGTTTGCATGAAGCAGGATACAAAAGGCATGTAGAGTTATATGCAAAAGGGGGAATGGAGACTAGCACACACACACACGATTAATCACTAAATTGAGAAATAAAAGTAAATGTCAAATTTAAGTCCAAAGCGGCCAAACTGGAAGTATAGCTGACTTACAGATTTTTTTTCTGCTTTGGCTATTTTGACCTTAAATTTTTAATTCTTACTTTAGTAAATAACACTAAAAATGTTGGGCATGCAGAATAGCTCACAAAAGGTTGACATGGAGGACGGAGCAGGATTAATCATAGGCTACTGCCTAGGGCCCATGTTTTAAGTAGGGGTCCTTGAACCATAAATCGTCTTATCCCTATTCACCATCCCTATGTGAAGAATGACAGGGTGCTACAAATCGGTAACCTGCTTATGGCCCTTTTCTGATTGAGGACCACAGACAAGGGGCATAGAGAATGACACACAAGGAGGCATAGATAGTGATGTACAAGCGGAGACATAAAGAGGGTCACACACTATGTTGGGAAAGAAAAGATTCAGAAATATATATATATATATATATATATATATATATATATATATATATATATACACACACACACACACTTAATGAATGGTTCATTTCATGCGTCACTGTAGACCTAGTCATACTTTATATGTTTGTGGAATCTTGGAGTGGTTGTAGCATGGTTTATGTTAGATAGTTTTCTCCATTTAATGTAATGTCTCTTCTTTCCTTGGCACAGATACTCATACTACATGTTAACAGCAGTAGGCATGAACTATCCTCCCGTTACATGGCTTAAACACACATGGTGGATTCCAGTTTATCCTTTATCAGTACTGGCTGAAGGTAAAATATATACAAGCTCATTGACCAATGATCACAATTACTTCATATGATTGAGTCATAAGCATAATTTCTTTTTGTTTAATCAATTGCTGCTGCTGAAGATAGCATAACTGACTTACGACCCAAAACCAACACTGCCACCATCGGTGCAGTTTTATACCAGTGTACAAATTCTACAAAACCCAAACTCATCTCATGACTAGTCCACAGTTCTCATATTCTATATTCAGGTTCCCATGCCATGTTTATGGTACAAATTACAATGATGTTCTTAGCACAACCAACCCTTCATTACCAGTGTATGGGGCACAGATTCTCTTCCTCCAGGTCAAAGAACTAAATCTTTGATGTCAAAAAGAAACTGAAGTTTCTCTCTGAGAAGTACTGCATAGACACAGTGAGGTTGGGCAATAAAGTATGCTAGAAAAAGTATTTAAGAAAAATAAAATGTCATCTTTAAGAATACTAATTTTAAAGAAGGTGACAGTTAAGGATAGATGGTTTTATTAACCCCATAAGGGCACATGACGGAAATATTCTGTCATGATTCCCTTTTATTCCAGAAGTTGTGTCCTTAAGGGGTTAAAGATCAGGGTGAAAAAACTGCTTATACTAATGTATACGGAAGGCAATTTATATTAAAAAACTATAAAACTAAATTGTGCAGCTACTCATGACATTCAGTGTTCTTATGCAGTCTGAAAGTGTCTTGTTTTACACAAAATGCCATAGTCACTTTCTGTATGCATATCTGCAGAACCAAAATAAAGAATGTAAAAAACAAACAAACAAACAAAAACTATTTTTGTGAGTTACATACACCATATTGGAACAAATCTCTTAATTATTGAATTTAGATGTTTCAGTCAGACCCATTGCCACAGGTTTATCAAATCAAGCACCTAGCCATGCAGCCTACCTTCACAAATATTTGTGAATAAAATGGGTCCCAAGCGTCGAACTGGTGTAAAGCATACAGCCTTTGGAGTAGTGGTAACGTGTTCTGTGGAGGGACAAATCGCGCTTCTCTGTTTAGCAGTCTGATGGGTGAGCATAGGTTTAGCAGATGTGAGGAGAACATTAGCTGTCTGACTGCATTATGCCAACTGTACAGTTTGGAGAAGGAGGGATAATGGTTTGGGCCTGTTTGGGCTAGGCTCTTTACTTTCAGTGAAGGGAAATCTTAATGCTTCAGCATACCAAGACATTTTGGACAATGCTATGCTTCCAATTTTCTGGGAAATGTTTGAGGAAGTCCCTTTTCTATTCCAATATGACTGGGCCCCAGTGCACAAAGCAAGGTTTATAAAAACATGACCATGACTTTGGTATGGAAGAACTTGATTGGCTCGCAGAGCCCTGACCTCAACCCCATCAAACACATTTGGGATGAACTAGAATAAAGACTGCCAGCCAAGTCCAACATCAGTACCTGACCTCACAAAGGCTCTACTGTGAACTGATGAACGGGCAAAAACTGAAGATTATGCTAGCTTTAGTGTACTAATAATCTTCTTTACATTTTTTATTTTTGTAGTGCATAGATGTGACACAAACAGGCAAGAGGTGCCCCAAAGGCAGTCCTCCAGCTTTTTCCCATGCAGAACATGCGGGGCACTAGAGTAACATGCACAATTTTAAATTTTAAACAGGTTTAAGCATTCGAATACCGTAGTAGATTGTAAATATGGTCTAAGAGTATAAGCAGTTTCAGCATCGTAGTTTCGACTGTACGTAAACACCTATACTACATACATGTTTGGTCAGAGCTTGAGTTAGGTTAGTTTCTCACGATTAATACAGGCATACATAAACAGGTATACATCGTTAGTCAGGTAGACAGGCAATTGCTATTGATCTAACAGTATGGTCTTATGTTATGCTAGTGTAGCAATGTCTGTAGAATGATATTGCAACACACTCAACAGGCATTATACGTTTTCCCTGTTAGTACCTATTGGCTCTTTATGCTATCTGCACCTATCAAGGGTTAAGCAAACATATATAGCGCTGTGCATGAAATCAAGACATAAAGATACTATCAGAGCCTGCTGGGATCAGTGTTATGAGAGATGTGCTTTGAGAAGCAGAGAGGAGCTTAACCAGGGCAGCAGAAAACATGGGAATGCTTCTTGCAAGGTGGAATAAAGTTGTGCCAGATAGCTACTGGGTCAGTCCTTTGGTTGAGATCTTGTAAAGTCCTGATATTCAGATTGGACTGTGCGTTTGAGGACCTGCATGGGTTTGTTTAGTCCATACCTAGTGCTGGCAGGCTGTTTGCTCTGAAGGATGCATATCAGTCAGGGAAAGAATTGTTGCGTTGCGCCTCACAGAAAAGACCTGGGTGCAGGTGCAGCCATTGTAGTCGTCCTCTGGGCAGATAAAATGGGCCCCAGGAGAGTGATGGCGTCCTCCACAGGCGCAAAGGTTTTTTGTTTTGTTTCTTTCTCCCACCCGATATATGTGTGGTTAGCATCCCCTTAGTCTGCTCAATGTAATCCGCCGGCGCATCCCCGGGGCAGGTTGCTGTGGTGATCCGATGGCGTTGGATGGTTTCTCCTGCGGTAGGTCGCACATGTGACTGGCGTGCGGCGGCCATCTTGAGGAATGCTGCCGGAGAGTGTTCCATAGCAGGGTGGTAGTTTTCGTCCCCGCGTGGCGTGACAGTAGTTGCATGCGTGTGTGCAGACCGGGATGACCCCCCCGGTCCAGAGGGGGGGAAGCCAGACACCGGCCGGAGACCCGGGAGAGCGGCCGTCTTGTCCCGGCTCAAGCTCCTGCACGCCTCGGGCCTTCATCGGGTTACTGTAGGCATCTTGAAGGGTATCCCCTCGTACCCCAGGATCTGGGGATCAGTGTGATCTTTGTTGCGGGTGGCTAGGAAGGTTTTGCCTCCAGTTTGCGCCGTTTTCCTGGCCCCATAGCGGGAGCTCAGACAGAACGCGTCTGATCCCGTCGGCGGTCCGGCCCCACCCTAGTATACTAATAATCTTGATTCTAATAATGATAGTAGGGGAATATTTAGCATTAACTTTCTTTACTGAACTCCACAGAAATTTGGTCCTGCAGATCATATGTTCAATATGGAAGCAGGCACTTAGGGCAGGAGAGGTCTAGGGACCAAGAAGGAGGTATAACAACAGTTGTGAGAACAAACTGTGACAAAGTTTGCAGAGGCTGTAAGCCACGTGTTACAATAGGCAGTAGAATTCAACTGGGGCTTACCCAGGAAATCAGAAGCCAGCAAAAACAGGTTCCACTCGACAGCACATGAAAACGAGGGCTCACCCCAAGCCAGTATACAGGTTAGATCCAGCTGGCTATAAACAGTGCGCAGTGCACCAACACGAGCCTGGTCCCAGTGAATTTCTGCAAGTATAGGAATTCGGGAACTATAAGAGCGCTATGCTCGTGCATCTACACGATGGCCCGAGCTCCGGTAATGCCTGTGCAGCAGGAACAAGCCACAGTAAGCGGGTAGAGAGTCCCCAGACCCTCCTAGAACCAGGGAACCATAGGTTTGGGGAGCCTAGTGGATGAAGGAGAATTCCCCCACAGGACCAGTGCCCCAGAATGCCAAAGGGAACTACCAGACAAAAAACCCAAGTAAAAGAAGGGTGAAAACCGGGAAACACAAATAAAATACAAGAAACATACACAAAAGAAAAGTGTAACAAGAAAAATATCCAAAATAAACCACAATATGCAAAGACAGAGGTCTGACTTATCTAGTGATGGAGCAGCAAAGAAAGAGGAAGTACTACAGTTACACACGCCTCTTATTACCTTTACATGATGATTTTCAGTTTTTTCTCTATGTTTCCTTTGATGTTGTGGAGTTTAGTAAAAAAAAAGTTAATGCAAAATATGAAACCTTCTGTCGTTTACGTTAAATTCCCACAGAAACGCTCCTGTGGAAAGCCTTCCCAGAAGAGTGGAAGCTGTTATAGCTACAACGGGGGGGCCTACTACAAATATCTACTTGTTTGGAATGCAAAGTCATAAAAGTCCCTGTTAGTTTATGGTTAAGTGTCCCAATACTTTTGTCCATATAGTGTATATCTTAATGCAGGCCAATCGGGACACTCCATTTCACCTAAAAATGTATTATATAGTTCAGATTCAATCTGTAAATATCATTGTGATAATATAGAAATAGATACATAAAAAAAAAAAAAAAATGACAATGTTTCTAACATAGGTTTCCTATTTTTCCAGTTTACACGATTTATGAATCGCTTCCATATTTTGAATCCCTTGGTACATATTCCTTCACAGCGACATTACCAGTTGTGGTATCGGTCCACTTTCCATACATTTTAAAAGTATACATGATCGTACTTACTGCAGGTAAAACATAATGATCAGAAAATGTAACTTCTACACTGCCTCAACTAATCACTTTACTAAACCTCATCTGTATTCCTCCAGGTATGTTTTATATATGCAATCATCTGTTTATGGAAAGAAAAACATATCTCAGAGCAAAGAGCGCAAAGCTAAAGGCAAAATAAGAGTAGGTAAGTGGGTTATCAAAGTGCAATACATTACTGTTTTAATTATACGTGTTATGTTCGGCAATGTTTACTGATTCCATTACCATGGAAATCATACATTTAGTTAATTGTTGTTAATTGACAACAAGGTTATATAAATGCAAAGTGACTGCTGTTGGTCTATTAGGTTGTCTTCTGATTTAATGCATTTGCTTAGGGTCTCCCTATATTAATAGGGTAATCCAGATGTGGACCCATTGCTCACTGTGCATGGGATGTGTGAGGCAAAATGTTACTTTATATCTTGTGCAGGGGGAGTCACCCAGCATTTCCTATCTGGACTGTGGAATCAATCTGATAGATAACTGGCTAAAGCTGTAATGCCAATATCCTAGAAAAGTAGTTCCCAACCTTTTTAATTGTGTACCCCTTGGTAGCCCATTTCCATAAATCGTACCCATCATATTAGTAAAATGTTTATTACAAGATACAAACACTAAATACATACAAAGGACACACAAAACCACATAGGTCAAAACATTAGTCACTCTCCAGTTCCCTACCACTCTCGTTCCGCCTCCCCCCCCAAATGGTAGGGCCTGTGCCAGCATTCCCTGTGGAGTGTTTTTAAAGGGGTTGCGTCCCAAAAATGCTGCTCAAAGCATAGAGTGGGCAGATTAGAAGACGACCAAGGTAGAAACTCCAGGCTCAGTCAGAGGTTCAACAAATACAACTTTCTCGTGGGAGACAGAAACAAAACTGAGGATTCTATATTACAGGGCAGAGGATGAGAAGCGAGGACTTGGTGGGATCTCACCATCATAGGAAGGAAATAAGTGCACTAGCGTATTATCCTCTACTCCTGAACCATGTGTGCAACAGGACAGGACTCCCAACAAAATTCCTAAGTAATCCGAGGGGAATACAATAACCATAATTCACCAACCTCTTGTGAGGTTTAGTGAGAGGGTTAATACTGTATATAGAGAAAGACCTGGTGAAGTACCATTGGACCACCCAACGTGGATAGTGGGTAATAATAATTGTCCATAATGTCAGCTAAAATATACAAAGAATAAGGACTGAATAGGACTCACACAAAAAAAGTCTTGACCTGCAAATTCGACATTCCTCTGCTTTGTCCACGGTTACATGTGGTGCAGGTCTTCAAATAACAGTGTCCTTGGTTAATTGACTAAAAGCAAAGATTAATTACCAGGCTTAGAAAGTAACTCATCACAAATATAACTTCAGCCCAGCCTCAAATTGAAAATACAAAACCTTTTTATTGTATAACAAAAAGTTCCAAACAGGGGGACTGTACTTGCAGACATGACCAATGCATTTCATGCATAGGTCATGTAACTTAGCTCAAATATTGTGCCTATTAAACTAAATACACAGGTAGTAGAGAAATGAGGGAGTCCTGTATTTGAAATAGACTTTTTAAATTGAATATTTGATCAGCAGACTATGTTTGAACCCATTGTAGCCTTATTCCATGCTGAAGCAGTTTCATACTGTGTGATTCACTTGCTGTTTAAAGATTTACACAGCTTTTTAAATTAGGTTTATAATCTATGAACACAAAATCATATTCCATTTGATGTGTATTCTAAATAAATGTATTGCAATTTGTTTTTGTAAAAGTGACAGTTTTTCATTAATTATTTTTACAGAGCCATTGGCAAAGAATAAACCTTATTGAATTAACAAGCTTGCAACCAATATTGTTACAAAACCGACTTGGCTTTTACAAGAAAGTAAAAAGTACCTAAATGCTGGTGGTTGATATCAGAAGTATTTTTGACAAACGTCACAATGAGAAGGTGCCTAGCAACATCCACATTTACCTTGTACCAAGTCACATCAAGAATGGGCTGAAACCTTCCAGGAGAACACATAGGACCAATCCATAATGGTTATTTGGAGATATAATAATGGCATTAATACCTGCAAGACAATTGCATGCCTCCCTACACTCTATTACATGTAATGCAAGCAAAATGAGCCGTGCTGTAAATTAGAATGTGCTTAAGAATTTAAAAAAAAGAGTTTATGTATATATCATGGTACTGAATCACAAAATTACATGTGTATAAAAAAAGTAATCTTTTGACCATAAAATGTCATCCCTTGATTGCCATTTAATCAATTATTTATGTACATGGAGCAATAGAGATGTTATTTGGAAGTAAGCAGAGAATCTATAAAAGAGGGGTTTTAGTGTATTATGTCTGTGGCCCTACAATTTCATGTAAGTCCTTGATATGGAGGTCCATTCACAGTTTGTGCCAAGACAAATGAAGAACCTTGCTTCATTTCAAGTGCCACTTCCCTGATTGGACATTAAAGTGGCAAGGGAAAATACACACTTTGTCTTCTGAGGGCACAGACCATTCTTATTGTTCATTGCATTGTTGTGTTTTAAGTCTTCTACCGTTACAACATGATGTCATATTCCATCTGGTGCTTTGAGTAATACAAGTAAAAGGAGGGCAAGGAGTGACCTGTGTCTGCCTAAGGTGCATACTGTTCACCAATGGTCCACCATGAGGACAAAGGTTATATGAATTGAGAAAAAAACAAAACAAAACACAGTGGGCTTTATAGTGAAGTGAAGTTGGGAAAATATAGAGAAGGGAAACTGGTAAAAAAAAAAAAAAAAAGGTGAGGAGCAAAGAAATCTGTGTATTAAGCTGAAAATGACTGCAATAATTAGGGATGAGAGAACGAAAGAAGAATTGTAGGAGAGGGACATGAAGATGAAAGAAGGAAGAGAAAGGGAGATGTCAGGAGAAAACAAAAAGAGTGGCAATTGAGAAACAAGCAACAATAAAAACATTTGCACTTATGTCAACAGACAAATTTGTATGTTTATGGATGATCCTTATATACCTACGGAGCAAATACAAAATGCACATACAAAAATATTAATTTTGAGCTGGCCCGATTTGCTATTTATTTCATAAATATTTAGTATATTTTCTCTTTTCCAAATAGCAATTGAAGGAATAAATTCTACAATAGAAAGGGTAGGTAGGGAGCCTTATTTTACTTTTTGTAACTTCTATATGTTTACTTTGTACTTTGCAATTTTTGTACTGTTTGATACTTTTCAATACAAAAATTTTGACCATAAAAGAATTCCAATTATAGAGCTTAACCCCTTAAGGACCAAACTTCTGGAATAAAAGGGAATCATGACATGTCACGTGTCCTTAAGGGGTTAAACTGTTGAGAAATCTGTGCTCATAACCTGCTTTTGTTAGCTAATAGAGAGAAAAAAAAAGAGAAAATTGGTCAAATTTATTACAACTATGTCTATTTGCAGTGCAAAATATTTGTTAAGTATTTTTTAAAAAAAAAACCATTTGAAAAACCATTTGGCTTTATCTAAGCTTTCTAAAATGCAGTAAAATAAGAAGGCAATATTTAAATGCATGCGGTCTTTTATTTATTAAATTATAATCATAGGATCAAAAGCAGAGATGTGGCAGAATTGTTGCATCTGAGAGTGTTTGGTAATTTACATTAAAAATGAATAAGAAGTGAAAAAGATTAAAAGTCACTATGCTTTTAATATAGCCTTTTTGTTTACATTTGCCAATCACTTTTTCAGTTCCATTATTCTGAGCAGCATTATCAATAGCATATTTGTTAGGCCTATCTATGATATGGACTGCAATGCGCATCAAGGAAGTCTCATTGCACCAACAAAAAGGTGACGAAGAGGATGCTACCGGTGCTATTTGCACAACATGATGCAAATGTGTGCTTACACTGCTCAAACTCTACTCTTTTACTTCTTAAAAAAAATGTTCATCATAATGTGATGTGTTTTGTATTATAGCGCTTTTGTATGTCTATATAACTTGATGTCTTTTGTATAATAAAAAAAAAAAAGCACTCTGATTTCAAATGAGTGTGTTTTATTGAGATCTTCCAGGTAACCATTGATCTCTGACATGCAGAGCAATGGTGGAAATAAATAAAGGATATTTATAGGGACAGAACATTAGTCAAAGTTCCGTTCTGCTGTTTGACAAAGAACACAGATTTTTTTTTGGTCCGTTCATATTTTTCTTTAAACAATTCCCTTTAAATCTGCTGCATGATTAACACACAGTAAGCCACTCTTGTGTTTGTTCTTGGGTTTTGCAGGCTTGAACAATAG